ATAGCTTTCTGCATATCTGATTATCACTTCAGCAGCATTATTTGGGATACTGAAGTCGGTTTCATGCACAAATTTGTTTCTCCACCTCCAAATTAGCCAGCATCCTGTCGCAAAACATTCCTTCCATCCATTGTCTTTATTGAGGGTTCCATTCACCATGAGGTTATTATTGAGCCATTCTTTCCACTCCTCATTAAAGAATCTTGACCACTTATTTCGGGGTACTACTCCTTTCCAGATTGCTTTAGCATAAGGACACTCTCTAAGTGCATGGGACATATCCTCTATTGCTGCACTGCATATGCTACATTCTCCATTGCTCGTATCCCATCTGCTTGTTTGAGCTTTTGTTGGCAGCCTTTTGTGCGCGACAATCCACATGAAGGTTCGTATACGTTCTGGGGTCCTTAACTTCCATATTTGTCTCCATAAGTCATCACTGACATGTTCATTCACTCCAACTAAGTTGTTGTAGGTACTGGCAATGGTGAAGTTGCCTTTCCCTGATATCTTCCACTTTAACTTGTCACCGGCTCTATTGTCTTGTGGCGGCAGCATGCTAGAAATCTTTTCAATCACACTGGTTGGTATCCACACCTCCAATTCTGACAGCTTCCATTGTCCATTCTCCCCTACTAAGTGCTCTACTCGCATCTCTCTACTTATCTGGGTTGGGTTTGTGACATAGTTAATAAGAGCGCCTTCTTGCTGAATCCATCTATCTATCCATACTCTTGTGTCCTTCCCATTTCCAATCTCTTTATACATATTTTCCTCAAAGAGTGGCCACATTTTAGTCAATTCCTTCCACAGTCTCGAGTCACTACTTTTGGCATCCGGGATTTGCTGATCTACCCGGTCTCTTCCATATTTTCCCTTGAGCACTTGGACCCAAAGATTATTTGGTTCAGAGTGCATCCTCCAGATTAGCTTCAATAAGAACGCATCATTCATTTTGCTTAGTGATCTAAGCCCCAAGCCTCCTTCGTTCTTTGGTTTGCAAAGAGTTTTCCATCCCACGGCATGCCATTTCCTGTTGTTTCCTTGTTCTCCCCATATGAACTTCCTTTGAGCTTTCTCTATCTCCTCCACCACTCCAGTTGGGACTCTGTCATGCTGCATAGGATATAATGCCATTGAACCCGTGACAGCTTTGACCAAGGTTGATCTTCCGGCCAGTGAGAGGCTCTCAGCCTTCCATCCATTCAGCCTCTTTCTAACTTTCTCAACCACCGCTTCAAACTTACTTTTGCGTTGCCTTGGGTAGGAGATATTTGCCCCTAGATATCTATCGAGCTCATCTACTTGTTTAAATCCACTTCTGGCACATATCTCATTTCGCACCCGTTGAATGACATTAGGTGAGAAATATATATGTGATTTCTCCTGGCTTATTCTGTGTCCAGAAACTGCTCCAAATACCTGCAAAACATCTAAAATGACATCTATATGGTTAGTGTTTGCCTCTGCAAAAAGCACGAGGTCATCCGCGAACATCATGTGGGAGATAGTAGGTCCTCTCCTTCCAGCTCTCACTCCTCTCCATTTTCTCTCTCTCACTTTATCTTGAATTAGATGAGTCAGTTTTTCCATGCCGAGCACAAAAAGGTATGGGGAAATGGGATCACCTTGCCTTAGTCCCCGGGTTGCTTTGAAGTCTTGAAGTTTCTCACCATGCCATATAATTTGTGTAGACGTAGTATCCATGCATCCCAAAAATCTTTCTATCATATGATCGGGACACTTTAGTTCTTTCAGGATCTTCTCCATATAACTCCAGCTAATTCTATCATAAGCTTTTTCCAAGTCAATCTTGATTGCCATGAAGCCCTTCTTGCCCCTTTTCTTTCTCATAGAGTGGACCATTTCATTAACTATAATGACATTATCATGTATGTTCCTTCCAGGTACAAAGCTCACTTGAAATGGGGAAATCAAATCCTTCATGATATTTTTCAGTCTCGACACAATCAGCTTAGAGAAGCATTTGTACACCACATTACACAAGGATATTGGACGAAATTGACTTACTTTTTCCGGGCTGTCTACTTTGGGTATAAGTGTGATTAAGGTTCGATTCACCTCCTTTATGGTCTCTGGTCTACTCCACATTTGTTTAACAGCTTGGTATATATCCTCTCCCACTATTTCCCAATTTTTCTGGAAGAAAGCTGCTGGAAATCCATCCTCACCAGGCGCTTTGAGGCTCCCGATGGAAAACATGGAGCTCTTCACCTCCTCTCTTGTTATATCAGCGTTTATCCTGTTCCATTCCTCTTTCTCAATACTTGGCCATGAATGCTGAGTAGTAACCCATCCTCTATCAGTCTCCTCCTCTTTGAATAGCTTCTGGTAATAATCATTTACCAAGGCTCCCACTTCTTCCTTCCCTTCAACCCAATTGCTATCATCATTCTTTAAGGTGGTGACCCTGTTCCTTCTTCTCCGAATGGTAGTCTTGGTATGATAGTACTTTGTGTTTCTATCTCCATCATTCAACCATTTTGTTCTTGCTTTCTGAAACCAAAACAACTCTTCCTGCTGTAGAATCTCATTTAGTTCCGTGTTCAATGCCTCCTCTAGCTCCTCAAGTCTTCTATCCTTGCGGTTTTGCAGAGCTCTTTGAATTCCAGCCAGCCTTCTCAATAACTCATTTTTCTTTTTCTTTATATGACCAAACACATTTCTATTCCAGTCTTGAAGCTTTTCCTCCAACCGTTTTAACTTCATTCCAATTTCGCTTTGCCCAAACCACTGATCCACTAGAAAGCTTTTGAAATCCTTGTGTCTTAGCCAGGCTGCTTCGAACCTGAAAGGTCTCTTCTCCTTGTTTCCTCTTTCTGTTTCCAGGTGGCTACATAGGGGGTGGTGATCAGATTGAGTCCTCGGTCCTACTCTCACCACTGCTTCACAGAATTTCATTCTCCACGCCACATTACAAAGTCCACGATCAAGCCTTTTATACATTCTACAAGCATGGTTTATCACAGGTCCTTTCCAAGTGTACTTTGGACCCTCAGAGCCTAAGTCAATAAGATTGCAGCGCTCTATGTAATTTCTGAATTTTTTACATTTTTTCTCATTCACTAGCTTCCCTCCCCTTTGTTCTTCTGCTTCCTTTATATCATTGAAGTCCCCTGCTAGAAGCCAAGGCACCTTCATGTTTTTGGCTATCTCCTGCAACCTTTCCCATAGCTCCCTTCTCTCCAATTCCCGTGGACTAGCGTATATTGCAGTGAAGTACCAGCTTTCCTTCCTTAGTTCGTTGACTTCACAGTGAATATACTGCTTATTACTCTCAATCTTCCTGATTTTTAAGTTGTCATCATTCCACAGAATCCATATTCCTCCTGTCATACCCCTAGCTTCTTCAATCAGTTGGTTCTTGAAACCCATCCGTTGAATAACTTCCTGAGCTTTAGACCCACTGCACCGAGTTTCCACTAAAACAACAACTTGAGGCTCAAATCTTCTCATTAATTCTTTTAGAGCACTTCCGAAATTCTTACCGGCTGCTCCTCTTGCATTCCAGACTAGAATCATTAAATAATGGTAAATTGAGGACGGACCTACAACCACTTATGCGTTACTGAGATCAGTATCGCATTCCTCACTGGCCCCTTCTTCTCCTTGCCGGACAAGCCCCTCCTCCTTATACAATTCCGTTGCTTCCAACTGGGCTTCTGGGTCTGGTGGTTTAGTGTCCAGATCCATGCCCGCCTCAGGCCGGTCCGGAAGATTGCCCAAGAAGGTATTCACCATTTTAGGTTGTAAAGAAAGACTCTTTCTTTCCATCATATTGAGGTTCGGCCCAAAAAAAAAAAGGTTGATTTCCTGAATTTTTTTTGTTTTTTGGGTTCAGACCAATGTACTTCATCATCTCATCGGCTCAGTAGTTTTCCATAGCTACCCATACCGATTTCGATCATCGTCATCTTTTCCCTATTTCTCCAACAATGCCATCACCGCCATCTTCCTTTGAACTCGCAGAAATGTTTAGTTCGTACAATCCCTACAAATTTTTTTACAGCAATTTGTGAGTGTTTTGGGTACTGTAGCAAAGTGTTCAAAATAAATTCTTCCGTATATTTATTTTGTATATTATAAAAATATTTTTAAAATTATAATTTTAATTCCATCCAAACAGTCTCGTTCTGGTTTGTGATTGATTTTTAAGTTTAATGAAGATGTGACTCTATTTATCTCCTTAGACTAAAAAAAAAAAAAGGCTCATTAGATTATAGTGCTTGTTCGCTCCCTCGTTTGTATTCTTCATCATGGTTTTTTTTTATTTTGAGTGTTTGGATAAAGACAATAATTTTAAAAGTGATTAAAAGTAAATATGTGAAGAAATTTATTTTAATTTACAGAAAAGTGTTTTTAAAAAACATTTATGAATATCCAAACACCTTTTTTATCTTCTTTTGAACCTGCGTAATTGATGGCGGCAAGGTTGAAAAAGGAGAGGGTTTCGGTTTGATTAATCATGGTTGGCGCCGAAGAAGAGAAATTTATAGGTGAAAGCAAGTTAGATTTTCATGTTTTATTTTATTTGTTGCCAAGAAAAATCTATAGCACGTGATGCTTTCATAAGTAAGTTGAGAAAAAACCTCTCTTCAAATAATTTTAGTGAAATCTTATTTTTCAAGTATTTTTCTGAGCAACAATTTCCTCACTTAGGCTGCTAGATGATATTAAAAAGATGCACAATAAAATTACTGAAATTTTTTTTATAATAGTAAAGCTACTGAAAAACATTTTAAGAAGTTAAAAAATCACAAATATGAAAACAGTTGGGTTAGATACCTTTGAAGAATAAAACTTTTGTTATTGGCTTATTACAGTCTGACAATGCATTTACACGTCACGTTACGGATTTTAAAAAGCTTTCCCATGTGTCATAATCTGGGCCATGCACCTGATCCAACGGTTGAAATGGCCAAACTCTCTAGAATTTTACGATTCCACCCTCGAGGGGATTCTTGCCTTTTTTCCTGAAGGCCCGAATTGATGTCTCCTCTGGTTTTCTGAGGGTCTCTCTCTTTCAATCCCTCTCGTCTGACTCGAGGGCCAAACTTGGGGACCTTCTCCAACCCTAATCGGGCAATTGATCCTCTCGGAAAATCTCCCCGAAAATGCAGAATCCCAGGCTGAAGCAACACCAGCAGCAAGCTCTGATGCAACAAGCTCTTATGCAACAACAGTCTCTGTACCACCCTGGCCTCTTAGCTGCTCCTCAGGTTGGACCCACTTCCCTCTCATTTCTTCTCCATTTCGATCATTTCCTAGATCGTATACTTTTTTCTCTCGTCTTTGGATGATTAAATTTTTTGGGGTCGATGCTTGTCGCACTTAGGGTTAACTTGGGCTGCCCGCGTTTGTTCCAACAGCGGGATGTTTGATAAAGCTGGGTACCTGACTAATTGTTGCTTATTGGAATTTGGGTTTTGAAGTATCTATTTTTCTCCCGCTCTTTGTGTGTGTGTTCTTGCTTTCATTACTGGGTATCTCTGTTTTGGCTTTTGTTATTGTGGGAAATACAACTTCAAAGTATGATTAAAACTTCTCTGCCTCACGGTGTCATTGTGGTGCATGATTAAGCGCCGCCTCAACTGGTTGGCCGACAGCAGGTCTTTGCCACCGTCATAGTAGGTCTTTTGTATTTGAAAAATGTGTGCCAATTTGCGTATCCTCTCTGGGAGAACGAATAAGAATTCATGTAGTGGTTATTTTCCAGTGTTTTCAATGTGTCAGTGGCCCTGCATCACTCTCTGTTCATACTATTTTCAGCTGCTTTAGTTAAGTTTGCATGACCCCCTGTAATCTGGGAGAATTAGCCTGCTGGTTTCATCTACTTACTTCAGGCTTAGCAAAGAAACTTTAAGCTTCTATTGCTTTGTCTTTCTGTATTTGCCCAACTAGATTTTTTTCCCCCACAATGGTGTTGGTAGATACAGTACCAAAGTTTTTATCTTGATTGTTCGCCTTTTTCTCTTTTTCAATTATTTATTTTGCAGATTGAACCAATTCCAAGTGGAAATCTGCCTCCTGGTTTTGATGCAAGTTCTTGCCGCAGTGTGTGAGTGTTTGCCTTGACTTTTTTTTCCCCTTTTTATTTAATATCTTGTTTTTTCTCTTTATGATTATGGTGCAAAAAATCTTAGGTATTTGCTGCTTGATTTGTATATTAATTTACTCCACTTTAAATGATGGGGGCATTTTAATGCTGTTGTTTATTTCTTGAGTATATGCTTTTACTTCAAACCTACTTGATTGTAACAAAACGTTTCCTTTAATTACTGCAGTCTTTTTTCCCACTAAACTTGATTACTTGTGCCCTAATTTCTTTTGTTTCTTTTCTTTTTTTCTTTTTACAATTCTAGCTTCTTCATCTGTGAGAAAATGCAGGTATGTGGGGAATATTCATCCGCAGGTAACGGAGTCCTTACTTCAGGAACTTTTTGCAAGTAATGGCCCGGTTGAAGGTTGTAAACTTATTAGAAAGGAGAAAGTAAGTTTTAAAAATCTGACATGGTTTCTCTTGTTTAATCTGTTGTCTTGAAGTCCCAGCGAAGTGTTTATTTGACATTGTCGTGTTTCTATTGTACAGTCATCTTATGGATTCATTCACTATTTTGACCGTAGATCAGCTGCTCTTGCCATATTGTCTCTTAATGGGAGGCACCTGTAAGCCTTTCTCTTTACACATCTCTTGTTTATTATTTCTTCTCTGGTGAAAAGGTTAACCTGAATTGCTTCACAGGTTTGGTCAGCCTATCAAAGTCAACTGGGCCTATGCTAGTGGGCAAAGGGAAGATACATCAGGTTAGTTGTATAACCAATATTCTTACTTATATTGTTCATACGCTATGAACCTTTAGGAACTTAATTATTTTATGATGTGTGAATTTTACTTTTGCAGGTCATTACAACGTATTCGTTGGTGATCTTAGTCCAGAGGTTACTGATGCTACATTGTTTGCATGCTTTTCTGTTTACCCCAGTTGCTCGTAAGCTTCACATCTGTTTATGTATTCTTGCTAAAGATGCCATTGATTCTCTGCTCAAGATTGAATCAGTCTCTATTCAAAACAAACCGTTCATATAGCCAAATGCCATACTTGGGGCAAGGCATACTTTATAGTGGATAACTTAGCTGGTGTTTCAGCATGGATCACTCTAATTTTTTTAATAATCTTTATGTCCATTTAGAGATGCAAGGGTTATGTGGGATCAGAAAACAGGACGATCAAGAGGGTTCGGATTTGTTTCATTTCGTAACCAACAGGTTTATTCCTGTTTTCTTTTGTTTTTGATTAAAATTATTTCCTCAGGTTTCATGTATTACAAGAATGTTCTTTGTACAATCTTTAACTTTTTCCGTTTACCTTTTTTTTTTTTAAAGGACGCACAAAGCGCTATTAATGATTTGACTGGTAAGAGATTCACCATTCATCTTCATGCTTGTTTACCTTTTGCAATTTTGTATTTCTGAGCCATTTTAGTATTTGGTCAATATTCTATTGCATCGTTTTTTGTCAACTTAGCAAAATTATGTTCCATCTCAAACGACTTCTAGGATCGTTTTTTTATGGATTGAATTGGTTTTTGACCTGGTCTTGTTCACTGGATGGCAATCAAGTATTGATTGGTCTTGTTTTTCAAAGATGGGAAATTTTTTGCAAGAATATTTTGTTGTTTCAAATTTTTTTTGTTGTTTGCAAAATGGGTAAAACTAAACTAATTCAAGTGTTTCCAGATGGAAAATTGTTTTGAGACTATTTTAGAAGTACCTCTCTTTTTATGCAGTTAATTTTGTGGCAGATAAATATTCATTCTCATCTTGCACTTCTGTTTGATGGCTGAGTAAAGATATGTAAACTTTGTCTGTCAGGCAAGTGGCTTGGTAGTAGACAAATACGCTGTAATTGGGCAACAAAAGGTGCTGGTTCTAGTGAGGACAAACAAGGTTCAGACACTAAAAGTGTGGTCGAACTAACAAATGGTTCATCTGGTGAGTAAATTACACTCTATCTTTGAAAAGTGCAATGGCAATAGACCAATCTATTTTTATATTGATTGCCTAAAATGTTTTCCTCTCATGGTGCAGAAGATGTTAAGGAGACGAATAACAGTGATGCCCCAGAGAACAATCCTCAGTATACAACCGTCTATGTGGGAAATCTTGCACCAGAGGCAAGAATCTGTTTTCATCATTTGTATGTTGGATTTAATGCAAACGTTGTTGACCATCCCCAATTCTGGGAATGGTCTAGTAGCTTCTGATGGCAACACAAGTGATGTTTCAAAGCGTTGCTGAAACTTATATTTTAGTGGTCACTGGTTTATTGCTTTTTCTGTTGGAATATCTTTCCTTTATGGCTACTAGTTTGGAAGTGTTAGTATAGTGTATTGGGCATTAGCCCCGGCCCAGATTTATGGTACTCAGTGAACTTAACTCACTGAACTGTACATGAGATAATGACCATTTACTTGAGATCTTGAATGAATATTCTGGAATCGTTTTCCTTTTTAAACTAGTCCATTGACAGAAGTACGAGAATAGCTAACCTTCCAGATTCATCTTTTGTTCTTGTACTTCAAACATACAGGGCATGTTAAGTTGTTTTCTGTACATTGAATTCTGTGGTGGTTGTAGTTACGATTTTAATCATCATGGGCTTTGGTTATTGTGCAGGTAACCCAGCTTGATCTCCATCGCCACTTCCACAATCTTGGGGCTGGTGCGATAGAGGAGGTCCGAGTCCAGCGTGATAAAGGGTTTGGTTTTGTGAGGTATAGTACTCATTCTGAAGCGGCAATGGCTATTCAGATGGGGAATACCCAGTCTTTCCTCTTGGGCAAACAAATTAAGGTGTGTTGTTCATCTGTTGAGATGGTCTCCAGTTGCTATATAACATTATGTTCCTTATTTGTGATTTATATTCTTGTCATCTTTGTTCACTAATTTGGTAATATAAAAAATATATTCCCTTTTAACTGATTCTGCCCTTACAAAATGTAAAGGTAAGTAGTAGTAGTCCATGGTATTGTTAGTTTTGACGCTATTTCTTATGTTTGGTTTCAAATTTTTCCCCCAACCGTGGACAAGGGGCGCATGGTTAGTGGTATACTGACAGTAAGTTAGATTAGATTTAAAAATTAGCTTGGACAAAGGGTACTCTATTAGAGTGATAATATGGGGGTGCTTGCATTTATTTTGCCTCGTCAGAGAGTGTTGGGCCACTATGAGGGTGCTTTAGGGACTTTTATCAAGTAAGGACAAGGTTTTATATATTTTGTCAGATTATAGTGTTGGGCCACTGCATACGGGAAAAAATAACGTTGGGTCCCTAAAAAATAAGGATGCATTATGGACTTTTATCGGGTGGGACAGGGTTGCATGAAATAGGCCTTGCAGGCATCAAATGAGGATCCTGGCTATATAATTATGACCGGTGGCTGGGAGCAGTGTGAGAGAGTATGATTTCAATTAGGGGCGGTGTAAGTAAGGATGGATGAGAGGGATGGTAGGGAATTTTCCAGCTCAGGAGAGCCTAACCTCTGGAAATCTAGGAGCCGTTGTCCTACCCCTCGTTGTATAGTTTCCGTTACTTGTGAAGTTGTGATGTGTTTTCCTAATCCATGCACCAGCAGAATCATTAGCATTCTCTTTTGAATAAACTTCATTGATAAGTTCATGCTCACCATGAAGCTTGCTTCCCACCATATTTGACTTTGTTTTTCATTATATTGATCTTTTCTTTGTGTTGATTTCTAAGCTTAATGTTTTGGTATTGACCAAGTAGGTCTTGTACTGTGTGAATCAGGATTCAACTAACAGCCCATTTAGTAACTGTTAGCAGATATCGGCATGTAGTTATTTAGGTTTCTTGTGTTGTGTACTGGTAAGGTGATAAGGTCTGTTAGTGGGCTCTGGCATGTGTGTCTAAATCATTTTAAAAATGCTTAAATACATGGTATTAATTGGATACTTGAGTTGATATCGGTTATTCTGTTGCTTGAGAGGATGATCCAATGAAAATTAGTCTAGTTGGGATTGGATTGTCTTCATTGATCACCCATTTAGAGAAATCAATACATGTGTCGACTGTCTTGCTTACCAAGCGAATCAAGCCGGTCAAGATGTTAAAATCCTCAACGATCCACCTGTAGGGTGTAGGGACCCTTTGCTTTCTGATTTGTCCTAGTTATTTTTTCTATTGCAATGCTTTGACTGTGGTCATGTCATGTTCCGAAAAACAAGATGGCAAGGATTAGTGCCATTCCACAAGAGCGGTGGCTAAAGTCTTGCTGATAGTTAGAGAATCATATTAGAAGGTACTTTGTAAATATTTGTGTAAGTGCTTTTGAGCTATGAAGCCTATTTGTATCTTGATAGGCTTTTGGATCCAACTCACTTGAACCCCAGTTAACAGGCAAACCAACCCGCCGGGGAAGGAAAAAGGGAGGATTAAGTCAGTAAAAGAGGAATGTTTGGCAGACTTTAGTTTTTACTCCTAATCACTCGTAAAAATGAAATTGAATATATTTTTCATTGAGCTGTTCAATTCTGACGCTGATCGTTGTTGTTCTGATGCTGTACAGTGCTCCTGGGGGAGCAAGCCCACTCCTCCTGGAACTGCTTCAAATCCTCTTCCCCCACCTGCTACTGCGCCTCTGCCTGGTTTTTCTGCATCTGATCTTCTGGCCTATGAGCGTCAGCTAGCAATGAGCAAGATGGGTGGTGTCCATGCCCTGATGCATCCCCAAGGGCAGCATCCTCTTAAACAGGCAGCACTTGGAGGAAGCCAGGCGATATATGATGGTGGGTTCCAGAATGTTGCTGCACAACAAATGATGTACTACCAGTGATACATATAGTGATATGCTTTAATGCTTTCTCGTTTCCTCCTTTACTTACAGTGGTGTGGTTGTTAGCCCCACAATATTTAGATATGATAATCTGTATGGCTGTGTATCATCATGTATGCGGTTTTATTATTAGTAGCGATGAGTGGTCGAGTTTGAGGCTTTTGAAAAGTTTCTCTTCCCTGCCTACCATCTTATGGTGTTGGTGTTTTAACCAACATTAATATTTGTGTACATTGTGTGACGTTTTCATCCTCATGCCATGATCATCCTTTACAGAGGCCGTTTGGTGAAATTTGAAATTATGATCCTGCAAATTTATTCCGAATTGATGTGCCTTTGATAACTGTAGCTGGTTGTGGCGTGCACATGGTTACTTGACTGCATGGCTGATGCTTCTGTCGTTCCTTAATGAGTCCATTCTCTTGGATAATAAGATTAATTGTTATGAGGAAGAAAAATGACCTCTGGTTAGAGAGAGAAAAGGAGCTATAGAGTGGCAGCAAAAAAACCCTTTTGCCGTGCGAAGCAGGAAATGAACTGTTTTTTATTTTTTTCTGAATAACCATAATCTTATTCAAAATCATTTACAATTGTCTTTGCAATTTTTACACCATTTCAAATTTAAATTGATGCTAATTAAGCTCCTTTAAATTTTAATTTATCGTTAGTTTTTAGTGTAAATGATAGCCGTGCTTATGCTAGTATGTTCATGGCTTACCTGCTGCTAAGGTTTTTTATGCTGATGAGATTTGAAAAGCTACTTATTGTAATAATGGGTCACATCAACAGCTAGTGTTTTCTCATTCAATGTGTTCTAAATTTTTTTTTCAAGTTTACCCTTAACAATTAATATTTCTCGTTAGTTTTCAAGATAAGCATTTAATGAATAGATGCATTCGTAAAAAATAAACGTTTAATTTTGTGGAAGTACATTACATTTTCCGTCCAAAAAAATTATATTTTAAGCCCTATAAGACATTTGATTTGAATAAAAGTAAATAAGGAATCCGTCAACTTGAATGGTTTAATACAAATATTTTCAATTCAGTAAATGGAAAATGCCGCAGCAAACGGATGGCGGCAACCCATCAGAGATCTCGACTATTCTACAGTCACGCTACTGTTGATGAAGAAATGCTGAACATGAGGATGAATTATGCTAGTCTTGTTCAAGGCTTGCAATATACTTGTCATAGAACTGTCCTGCTCGTTCAAGGTCTCCAAGCTCAGTGTAACAATCAGCAATCGCTCCATAAGCTTCTGTGTTGCCAGATTTCTCTCCCTCTCTTTCAGATATGGACAATACCATGGAATGGTATTTAATGGCTTCTCGATACTTGCCCTGCCTTTGCAGTGAGGCCCCTGTAATATGCAGTTATTTGTATTGACATTCAAAGTAATCTGACACAAATTCAATCATAAAGACATATGTAACTACGCAAGATGTAAATTTCACTCAAAAACGTGTTTTATGATGTGATTTCATATCTACTCATAACTCGCTTGGATTAAATGCACGTAGAGCGTAGACCAGCCAAGATCTTTTGTTTGTACATCCATATCATAAAGAAAAAACTCAATCCTATATGTGGGAGCTTTTGCCAAAGCCCTAGCGGCTCAGTGGCGCTATACTCATCAAGCTTGATCCTGCCTGCAAGCGGCTTGCCTACTTTTGGGGGGGGGGGGGGAATGCGGGAGCCTCTCCACAAGGACAAAATTTAGGCACAATTTTTAAAGTATTTGCTACTAGATTCTCCGTTAAAAGATTCAACATGTGATTAATTTTTTAATAGCGTAGCATCACAGGATTACTTTGTTCATAATTTTTTTCATATGCAAATGTTTGCATTGTAGAACTTGATCGCAAACATCTGAGAAACTTCACTCAAGTGAAGAAAACAAGAAACGAAGCACCCAAAAATAAAAAAGGAAGGAAAACTAACCTAAACCTCTAGCAGCTTTTTTCTCCTCAATTGGATCCTTCAAGTTCTGGGCGAGCTCAAGAGCAGTCTGAAACTCCTTAAATGCTTTATCTGGCTCTTGATTCCTCAAGAAGTTCTTCCCCCTTTTCAATTTAGAAACAAGGTCCTCCTTCCTTGGATCAACGATAACTTCATTCTCAGATATCCTACCACCAATAGGTGCATAGCTCAAGCTGGGGGCATAAGACTCAACTTTCGCTTGCCTCCTCAAGGCTGCATTGATCTGGCGTAATTGATCATTCAACCTTTTCAATTCTCCTCTTCTTTGCCGAGCAAGCAACCCTGTCATACAACCAATCAATTCTAAACAAGGGGGAAAAAAAACTTCACAAATCTTCAAAAGCAGTCATCAATGACAGCTTTCCACACTTCAGAAGCATAGTTTGATATAACCAGTTAAATAAGAGATCAGATGAGGTGGGGCATAATCAGCCTTTGTTTTTTTTTTTTTTTTATAAATTTCCACGTGCATTCCATTCACTACCAATTCTTCTTCTTAATAGAGAATTTCGGCAGCTCCTGCTTTCTAACCTCTCCTCTGTACTCTTAAAAATTTTCTGTGGATAACCTTAGGGTCCTCTATGCTGTATAATGGAGATCTTGCTAAGCTTGGACACATCTTAAGAAGCAAACAAGTTGCCTTTCAAGAGGCATTTCAGGCTCAAAGCGAAAATTCTAACTTTCATGCCGGCTTCCTGTATTTCAAGATAGGCATTTATTATACACACACGCAAAATTAAGTACCATGCTAGCTCTTTTTAGAGCAAATGAAATAAATCACCAGATAAAAATCACATCCACAAAAGTAACCTGCAATATTTGGCCAAAAAAGGTAAACTGTGACAAAATGAGGGTCCAAGCCATGCACTCAGTTTAAGTTACATCCATTAAATAGTTTAAGTGAAGCTCATACTACCTTACCTCCAACAGTAGCTCCAATGAGGGCTACTGATAGCAGCAAAGGCATATTGAAAAAAGAGTTATCAGCCTCACATGTTTCAGCTAAAGCTTGAGAAGGGATAGAGAACATCAAAATGCCGCTGGTAAGGAGTTTCAGTAATTGAAACCTTTGGTTCATGTCTTCCTAACAAGGCAAACAAGCACACTCAGATACAATAATAATGATTAGCAGAGAGGGATCTCAAGCATAATAAGAACATAAATTGTTGTATATAAAACTAAATTTGGAGCATAAGATGCTAATTTTTTCTTTTTTGAACAGTTTACAGGGTTCATCAAGTTCTGAGTTGCTTGTACAGAGCTACTAAATATTCAATCAAACAACAATTGAGAATCAACAGGATGCAGTAAGAAAAATGAATTGGGAAATAATTCCTCAACATGAAGAAATGAGCAAAATTCAAAGTTGTCTCTATTGTAGGAAGGGCGAAACTGCATCCACAGAGCAACAGGTGTTCTGTAACTCACCATCGTACCTGACAGTTTGAGCGGGCGAGCATGCTTCGAATTACAGGAGGCCCATCAAATGTATCTTTAAGAAGTCGCACAAATTCGTTCACTTTGAAAGAAGGACAAGATAGTTTTCCTGATTCACTCAAGTATAATTTCAAATGAGTATCTTGTAATTTCTCACCTTAGATTCTTTATCTATTTATTTATAAAATTCATGAGCAGTTCATGTATAGCGTTGGCAACGAGGATATACTGAGTGCCAGATGAGATAAAACAAGGAGAAACCTTGGTGCAACTTTCTTGCAATATAGCACCGATGATTAACGCTTTCCTAGGAAACTTCCATTAAGCTTAAGCTTAGTGCTTAACTTAATATTGTAAGATTGTAAGCATCTAATTGTAGACTTCTAAGAGAACAAGAACAAATTATTCGAAATTTTCCATGTAACTGACCACGCAGTGTAATGAACTTGAAACTTCGAGGATAAACTTTTGTCGCTTGAAAAACAAATTTTTCTCCAGTAACATCTTTCTATGTACAAAATTACAACTACTGAAGTTAACTATTTATAAAAATCTCAACCACAAACAGCTAAACCATCTCGAAGATTACGACGCTAATTCTTCTGTTTTTACAAAGGAATGGTAGAAAATGAGTCAGAAAAGGAACGTCTGAACCTTCAAAATTTCCATCTTCATGGGAAAGACAGAAAAAGTTGATCCCAATGTCGATCAATGATTCGAAAGGAGTTAACATTGAACAGAAAGAATAAACAAAAGAGGTAATAACAACAATCATTTCCTTCACATTAACGCCTCATCAGACAAGCTGCAATGAGTAGCGCCTAAAAAAGAACAAAATCAAAATCCAATTGACAAAGAAGAAATTTGAGTTGGTCGTGGAAAGTCCAGCTCAAAAACACTAAAATAACACCAAATAACACCGAGCAAGCGAAGTAGACGCATGAAGCTCATGCTAAGTCTTAAGGCACTATATAAAAGGCAGGTGATTGTGAATTGTGATCGCCAGTGTGGAAGTACTGACCAGGATCACTGAGCTCGTTTCGCGAAAATTGGCCTCGCAGCACAGGTTGCCGGAGACGAGGGGGCGTGAGGAAGCACGCGCAATGGAGCAACCCCGTCATTGCTGTGCAAAGAATCAACGTTGGATAAGATTACAGAGCCCTTGATGATCATTTTTTTTTTATTATGGGCTAACGCTGCGCCTCAGATTTTAGGCCCGCGCCACTTGGTTACTTGGCTTTTTGGGCGAAAATGACCTTCAAGACCCCTGCAAGAAATGAAAATCCTACTCTAATTTATTAGATAAAGAAAGTTAAGTAAATTAGTTAATTATAAGAATATAACATATTTTTTCTAAAATACTATAATTATCTATCTTTTCCTTTCTTCTATCTTCTATTTGATTATAGTTGAGGGAATATCCATAAAGGTAATTTAGAAAAAATTAATAAATATGAAAAATAGATCTTATATATAGGACTAAAATCAACTCAATAATTATGTCATATATTAAAGACCGGAGGAGCATAAAATTTCATGAATTTATGAAAAAATAATAAAGACCCCGTCCTTATTTGAGGAAAAGAATGGATTAGGAAAAAAGTTAAGCTGGAAAAGGTGATTTATATTATAAATCAGAATGACTAGCTTGTTATTTTTAAATCTTTAAATGTTATTAGCTGATTAGCAGATAAATTTTTTTAAGTAGAAAACTAGAAATCATAGCTGGATAAAAATGATACGTATGTCAACATGCATTATTTGTTACTCAAACAAACAGAGCCACTATAAAAGTAAGATTTATTTATAATGATTTATAAGTAATTTTTTAATCTTGATTTTTAAATACAAAACATGCAGAAAAAAACTGTACAGATTACGTAAAACGTGCATATAAAAACATGCAAGCAAGCTAAAAAGTCATTATTTACCTCACCACAAGTTTAGATCAAACCCCAGCCAAAAGCCCCTTACTTACAAATCAAAATCACAAATCAAGATCACAAAAATTTTCACAAATGAGAGCTGATAGAAAAATATTTTGGCCACCAAGTAACTTACCTGCCTCCCCTTTGCCAAGCTCTGCCAGCTGAGGAGAACCTGCGCAAGCCTCAGAACCTGAGCAGATGAGAACCCGCGAAATAAAATAATCGTTTCCTGGGGCGCTTCTTCTCTTGCCATGTAAAAGGTTAGTAAAGTCATTTTGCCAAAAACAAATCCTAGAGAAGTCCCCGAAATCTCATGGGTAATTAGGCGACTTCGAAGTCATAATTGGGATTTACAAAGAAGTTGTTTCGCGTGATAATACACGTACATTGAAAAAAAAATATTATTTTTATTTAAAATATTATATTTTTATTCTTGGTAAATGTTATATTGACATTCTCGAAATAATTAATACATTCTCCTTTTTTTTTTTTTTACAGAGTCAGTTCAAGGAGTATAATATTGTCTTTTACACTCGCTCGCTTTCAAAATATGAGATTTTTGGAAGGAAAGCTTTTATTACATCTTATACGTCCTTTTAGGAGTTCAAAACAATATTTATAAATATTTTCCCATTATACTATTATTTGCTTCTAACTTTTAATTTATTTAAAACATTAATTAGTGACAAATTTCACGGTGTAATCAATATTTTAAAGTATTAATTACATTTTTAATGCATGCATAGAAATATATTCCTCCATCTCAAATACAAGGTATATTTTGTAAGATATTATGTTTCCATATATAAGGTACTACATAAAGCTACAAGGACAATTAATGATTTTTTTATTTAAAATATCTTAGAAATCTATCAAAATACTTACCACCTATGTAAAATTGAATTGGAGTAGTTTAGTCATTATTAGGGGTGTTCAAGATCGGCCCATCCGGTCAGTCTATTCTGGTCCCGGCCTTATTAGGATGGGGCGGGCCCGTTCCGAAATTTTTCACAACAAGACAAAAAAAGGGATCGGGACAGGACAGGACACGGGACGGGGTTGTCCCGTCTCAATCCTATCACAATCCCTTTTATTTTTTTATTATTTTTATCTTATTTATATAATATCATTTTGTTTCACATTTTTTTTTAAGATTCGAGACTATTGTATAGAATTATAAATATATTTATTTAGAATTTTTATATTTGTTGATGATTTGAGACTATTGATGATTAGAATTTCTCACAGGTTTTTATTGTGTTAAAAGCTTTTGTTTAGAGTTTTTAATGACTATAATATGTAATATTTTGGACTTTTGTTTAAGTGTGTCTAAAGAAATAAAAAAAGAAAACAAAAGATATTTTTACAAGGTCTAAGCCCAAAAACCTACAATTAGAAAAAAAAAATCAGATTTTATTAAAAAAATTAAAAAAATATCGGGATGTCTCGTCCAGACTGGAACCGGAACCGGACAGGACACGAGACAGATTAAATAGCCCTAATTATTATAAGTAGTACGAGGAGCTGTTTGGGTGAAAAACAAACCCAATTTTAAAAGTGAGAAATCATCATTCAAGATAAGCATGTGATTTTGTCTAAATTTACATAAGAGTACTTGTTTTTGTATATTTTAAACACCAGAGCCTTCGAAATAAAACATATGGATTGGAATCAAGAAAAAAAGATATTAAAAAAATATTTAATATGAAAAATTATTTATTATATAAAATTAGTCAAACTCACGTAGATAAGATTGAAGAATACTAAATCTCTATTTTCTAATGCTTTGACCTTGAAACAATAAGGCCGATCAGCATGTATAATTTCCTAATTACCCCCGTTGCTTCCCGAATCCCAAATGCCAGATTGATCTGCTCGGACTTCAGATAGCTTTTCCAGTAAAAAAGTATTTGGTTGGAAATACTGTTATAGTTTTATATTTTTACGGTATACAAAATAATTATATAAAGAAATTTATTTTAATTTATAAAAAAAATATTTTAGAGAGTATTTTTAGCTAAATCCAAACACGCCTCGAGTAACAAGTGACGAGTTTATGAGAAGAATGGAGGGGACATTGAGGCTTTGGGCTCGGGCCGTAACTCGTAATTGAGCAGGATCGGCGTCGTCACTCTCTGCAAAAGAGCTTCAGCGCTCCCCGCGCGTCTTTCCCTCCTCTTGTTTTCAGTTAATTCCCGCAGATGCATGAATGAAACTAAAGGACATCCCTCGTAGGGTTTTGTTTCTTCCAACTACTTTCTATCAATTCCTCAAATTTTTGCAGCGGATCCATTATTATGGGCGTCTCCTTCAAGGTCTCAAAGACCGGCTCTAGGTTTCGCCCAAAGCCTCTTCTGTCCGAAGCTTCTGAGGATGGCCCCTTGGAAAATTCCAAGTCTAGCTCCCGAGCTGTTGCCTTCAAGAACGAATTCTCTAGACGAGAGCCCAAGGTAAGATGTGAGTTTTAGTGGGTGACCTGGGAACGTTGAAGATGACAAAGGATCTTTTGGGTCGTGCAAAATTATCTCAAAGCATGTAATTTGAGACTTTTGTATCTCTGAAATGCTGTCCTAGTAGTGAATTGGAAGGTCAAATAAGATTTTTTTTCCCCCGATAATTCACCAGAGACTAAGAAAAGCCATGACTTTTTTCAGATTTGGTGCTTATTAGCCCTGAGCTTCAAGAGAAAAAGTAAAACGAAGTTAAGGAAATTTTGTATATATCGTAAATCTTCTTGGTGATCTAGCGTAATGCATAATCTATTCAAAGATTATCAATAGGATTGGTTCGTGTTAGTTTTTTAACTTCTTCGAACAGTGAAGCTTCCGTATTTGCTTTCTTAGCTATTGCCTATTAAGTATTGAAGAGGTCTAGCCATGGTAGGGAACTTACGAGGAGGCTAGCCGTGGAAATATTGTTTGTTATAAAACTAGAAGATTTAATAGTTAAAAGCACCTCTCTCTCTCTCTATCTCTGGTTTTATCATTGATAGTTTTACAGCAACCCCATTGATTTATTTGATGTATTTGTAGTGTTTTAAATTTAATATTTAACAGGGAAAAAGCTTTGTTGTATCTTTGTCTCGTGAATCGTTGTGTTTCAATTTGGGGAATGTGACTCAAAAAACAATGTAGTTCTCTGTATTTGCATCACCTTAGATTGTCCATTTTCTACCTTCTCGCGTACTATGGACAAGCATTCTCCCAGTAGGCACATATTTTTATATTTCTGTTTTGTGATTAGATTTGATTGAAGTAGCAATAAAAAAAGTGGGGATAACTCACCATTTTGGTGTTTAAATTCCTTTTCTAATGATTTCAAACTTCCTTTGATACAGAACAATCTTGTTCAGTCTGGTGAGAAGATTGCTCGTGTGCCTGATGCGTCCATTTCGTCTGGCGCTATGTCAGTTACAGGTCAGTCATTAACGATATTAGTTGCCTAACTTGTTTGTTAATACTAAATGTTGTGCTGCTTGTTTTGACAGAGAACGAAGCTTCTTTCACATTGAACCTGTTTCCAGATGGTTATTCTATCGGAAAACCATTGGAGGTTTGCTTTGCAGAATTATTACTTTGTTGCTTAACTTGATAAAATTGCCTGACATAAAGGCTAATCTTGCTTTACTTTAGTTGTTTGTTAATTATTAGAAAATCATGAATTTTCAGAACGAGACAACAAATCAATCTACATATCAAGAGTTTCCAAAGCTGTTGCATCCCTATGATAGGATGTCAGAAAGTCTATTCTTGGTAAGGCTGTTGCATAATTTTTCTTCGTTTCTGCAGTCTTTTAGTTTAAACTCTTCAAGCAGCATATTTGACAAATGGTTACGAATGGTTACGATCTTTGAATGGGATACCAAAAACTTTCTACTTATGTCATTGCATATCAAATATCTTCATGCGTACCTCTTAAGCTTTCAAGAATGCTGGCTTGGTTTGATTGAGTCATGGCCATTATTGGGCTTCATTATCTGAGTTAGTTTCACTAGATTTGAGCCACTTAAGTCTGCCTTTGTAACTGTTGTTTGAGGACAGAAATAGAAATAGTGCCATAAACTACCCTGTAGTTTGGGCACTTTAATAGTTGCTCAAAGTTCCTTGTTTTGTTTTGTTTTATCCAGGTACTATGGATTTTTGCACGCAGATACTTATACTTCTATTTCAATTTAACGTTTTATCGTAGGCTATTGAGTCAGGCCACTTGCCTGGAGATATTCTTGATGATATACCATGCAAGTATGTTGATGGAGCACTAATATGTGAGGTGAGGCTACTTTGGCATGCTCTTCACAATTTTTTCTTATTTCTTATGCAGTCATGCACAGTATTCTCAACACATGGAAAAAATTTGCTGCCATGCTTTAGTCAGAGGAAGTTCTGCAAAACTTTGGATAATTGGCATTTTCAAAATTTTATTACCATCTAATATCTACTTTTCTCTGTACATACCTTTTCATAAGATTGAGCTCTGCATGGCTTATGTAACCTTCCAGGTGCGTGATTATCGAAGATGCTCTTCTGATAAGGGGTCTGGGCATGCTTCTACTGATGTTTCCCCTACTGTTACTAAAGTTCGTCTCAGGATGTCATTGGAGAATGTTGTGAAAGACATCCCTTTGATTTCAGATAAATCTTGGACTTATGGTGACTTCATGGTGAGGATGATCTTCCTTGGATTGATGATTTGTGATTAGTTCCATGATATTATCATTTATTGTGTATTAATTTCACTTATCTATGTGTACATTTTGCATTGATGGCAGGAATTTGAGTCCAAGATACTGAAAGCATTACAGCCACAGCTCCATTTAGATCCTACTCCCAGGTTAGATCGGCTAAGTGATGGTCCAGTTCCCACAAAGGTATAGATGAACCTTTCTGGATACACTTAATGTATGGCTTTAAACATCTCATTTTTTTTTTTAACTTCATTTTGCAGCTCAATTTAAGCCTTAGTAGTTTGCGGAGAAAGAGATTAAGGCAGATGCCAGAATTTACTGTTACTTCTAGTAATAAAATCCATGGCAAGAAAGTTTGCATAGATAGAGTACCGGAAAGCTCAACCCCCAGGCTGGGTGAGCCCGGAATCGTTGCATCTAATGCGATGATACAGCAGACCCATGATAATCTGGCTTCACAAGATCTTGGTGCCAGCAATGCCATGTCTTTAAGACCTAAAAGCTTTGTATCAGATCCTTCCATATCTGGTTTGTCTATGATGTCCCATCAATCAAGGTATCAAATGGGGGTGGGAACTCCAAGAAGCTTGCCGGAGCACGGACCAATTTCTGCTATGAACACATCAGGAGCTTCCCCTGCTGCACAGGACATGATAATTTCATATGGTGATAATGCCAATTCAGGTTCCTCTCTTCATGGAAAAAGGGAGCATCAAGATGGACAAACATCACCTTTGTCCAATTTTGCTAAAAGAATGAGGCCTACTGATGGAATGCAACAGTCACAAACAGGACCTCATGGTGATGCCCTTCAAGGATCAGATATTAATTGGCAAAATGCATTATTACCACAATCACAAGCCATGTCTAGAGGAATCCAGTATCAAAGTGCTGGCGTTCAGAAGTTTCCACAGCAGGCTTTTGAAGGAAGGTTAAATCAGGACACAGGGACTCTTCAGTTTGCTGCTGGGCAGCAGCCAATGAGAGTGGTTGCTAAGGAAGAGCAGTTTGCATTGGATAAATCAGATGGCTCAGAGATCAACCGGAATAAAAGTGAAGTGCAGATGGAAATGGATGCGAACCTTTTGGACCATCAACAGTCACGACTCCAGCAAAGATTACCACAGCATGCATTCATGAGATCTAATTTCTCTCAGACAACCTGGAATAATCTTGGTCAGCATATAGAGAAAGAAGTAAGAAAGGATGACCAGCTTCAGAGGAGGAAATCAGTGCAGAGTCCTCGCTTATCTGGTGGAACATTAGCTCAATCCCCTTTATCTTCTAAATCAGGTGAATTTTCTAATGGTTCAGTTGGACCCAGTTTTGGACCAGCTTCAGCAGCGGCAGCGATGGGATCACAAAAAGATAAAACAATAATGTCATTTCCTGCTGCTGGTGGGACTCCACCTTTGACTTCCACTGCTAATGATTCTACACAAAGACAACACCAGGCACAAGTAGCTGCCAAACGGAGGGCTAATTCCCTACCAAAGACCCCAGCAATAAATGGTGTTGGTTCTCCTGCTAGCGTTAGTAATGTTAGTGTGCCATTAAATGCAAATAGTCCCTCAGTTGGGACGCCGGCTTTAGCTGATCAGACTCAGACTATCCTTGAAAGGTTCTCAAAATTTGAAATGGTGACAATGAGGTATGTTGTTCTACTTTTAAAGCAGTATCATGAGACTGCTTCTATTTTGTTTTTTAACTTAATTGTTATTTTTGCACAATACTTAACCTTGGAACTTCCAAAAGTAATTTATCATTGAGATTAAAATATACTATTGTATATATTTCATCAATGATATGAGCTATCGTACTGCTTATTGTACCAGTCTATACTGCATCATACAATTAATACATGTGTTATTTCTTCCTTTTTATTCGAAATCAGGCTTTATTTTCCAAGCCCTTACCATTTTCTTCAATGTTATTTATTTTACTTGCAAGACTCCTGCTCCCTCTCTTCATATGTAATGGAAGTGTCAGTTCGTGGAGTTTATTTTTCTGTCCTGACATATAATGTACTGACTTTTCTCAGGCATCAACTCAACTGCAAGAAGAACAAGGTTGATGATTGTCCCATCAGAAAGCAGAATTCATATTCACCTCAGCATGTGGCAGTCTGTCTGGCTAATGCATCCAGTAACGAGGGTTTTAAAGATGATACAAAGTCTCTGTCAAAGTCACTCGTAGGTGGCAGTATGAATGTCAGCAAAATAAGGATCTTAAGCTTCTGGTTGCCTGAGCGTGTAGTTCAGGGTAAGTTGAAATATTTGGTCAGGCTCTTACCCTTGGTAACATTCAATTCAGTTTCTTCCTTGTTTGTAATTCCATTTCCTTCTTCAGGCAATGTTGTTTCTTTAGTTCCAAAGTTGCGAACTAGGTTGATCATGTCTGAGAAGCCATCCGATGGTACCGTGGCAATGCATTATGGAGACATTGAAGATGTTGATTTCTTGGCTGCAGAGGATCATCTTCCTACATTACCTAATGCCGTGAGTTTCATGACAAACTTGGAATATTTTTCATAATCTTGAGGATTTACCTGTGAGGTTTATCGAATGTATTCTGTTTCAACTATTCTGGCTTAGTTTGAGTGCTGTGTTTCATTTTATCATCTACCTATACTTTTATGTTCTCGAGGGGTCCTTTTCTGATTTGACCATACTGCTGCCAGAGATAAATTTTGATATCCCCTGTACCTTTTTTTTAATTTTTTTTTTAATTCAGTCTACATATTGTCCTAAAGTAAGCCGTTCTATTTTCCCATTTCTTTGGGAAAACCGATTGTTGAATGTACATCTCTGGCAATAACCTGATGGTTTATGAATTGGTAATTGATGACCATGAAATCTGTATTAAGGATTTGGGATCCTCAAAGTTATGGTGGTACATACCTTTGACATTTCTGCTTTCTTTATTGGGGTCCATTTGTTTTGCATAAAGAAATTAGATTTCCTTGCCCTCACAAAAAACGAAAAGATATACATCAATAAAATCATTTCATTTTCATTTCATTGGCACTGCCACATGGTTGGGTCCCGCTTTTTCTTGCCCACAATCTATATGTATAGTTCGTCAGTCCTATTTAATTTTTTGTATCTTGGTAGCTTTTTCTACACAATTTTAATTATAAAAATGAGTACCCGGATGCTAATTTAAGAAATTGTGATTACTCATCATTACTATCATTTTTTTAATTCAGGAACTTTATTAACTTTAATGTTTGAAAAAATAGCTTTCATATGCACGAGATATGGGTAGTTAAAAATTAATTTGTTCTTTCTCAAGTAAATAGTTGTGGCTTAACTTCTTATCTAATGAAATTGACATTATTTACGAATCTAATTATTGTGATGTTAAATTATTCTGTCTTAGTTTGATCTGTTTGTCTTTGAAGCAGAGGCTCTCTACTTTTAGTGGAGTAATTGATTGATGTTTTCAGATTCTGGCGTCAACTCCTTTCTTAGAAGTCAACTTATTTCATCTCTGAAAGTCTGATCCTGTGAGAACAAGTACTAGTGTGTTAACTTGTAGACTGAAGGAATAAATAACCATGAAGTCTGCCTATAGTAAACAACCGAAATCTTAATTTGAATAACCTATTTTTGTAGTTATTTGATCTTGAGGTGTAATTAAACTGATTGGTGGGTTATTTTTTGGTTCTTCCTGATATATATAAAATTGCTGCAAGTTTATTGCTTTGACTGATATCATCAATTTTTGAACCAGCATTTTGCGGACTTACTAGCAATGCAGTTCAGTTCACTGGTATGTCTCTTGCCGAATTCAGAAAAAAAATATATCTATATATCTATATATATATATATATATATATATTGAGGACTTTAATCCACCTAATGCAGATGGATAGGGAAGGGTACATGAATGATGGTGACCTCATCCAGTCAAAACCAAATCGGATGAACCATCCATCAGGCAGTCAACCTAGTGGAGTTGCTGGAACTCATAATGCTGCGGTTGAAATGCAGCAATATGGAGAGTCAATTCCTGGTCAGTTGCCCAATGAAATTGCAAAACCATCTACTACTAGTGGCAATACGTCTCTAAACTCATCTCAGAACCATTTAGCAAATGGAAGGATGTTGCCACCTGGAAACCCTCCGGCCTTACAGATGTCACAAGGACTTCTTTCAGGTGTTTCAATGGCTCCAAGGCCACAGCAACTGGACCCACAACAGTCCGTACAGCAGCAGCACCAGCAGCACCAGCAGCAGCAACTCCAACCGAATCAGCACTCTCTAATTCAGCAACAGAATCCACAATTTCCGATATCTTCAATGATGCTTGGTACAAGTCCACTTCCACACTTAGGTACAATGGGGCAGAACTCCAACATGCAGATGGGCAATCACGTGGTCAAGCAGCCTCTCCAGATGCAGCTGATGCAGCAGCAGCAGCAGCAGCAGTATCAGCAGCAGCAGCATCAGCCACAAATGCAGAGGAAAATGATGGGACTTGGAACTGCTGTGGGCCTTGGTAACTTTAGGAACAACATGGTTGGACTTGGAGGCTTGGGAAGTCCTATGGGTATGGGAGCTGCAAGGGGAATAGCAGGAACTGGAATCTCAGCACCAATGGCATCTATGTCTGGCATGGGAAATATGGCTCAAAATCCAATGAATCTTAGTCAGGCTACGAGTATCAATAATGCCATAAGCCAGCAATTGCGATCGATGACCCCAGCACAGGCTGAATTGTTGGCATCAAAGTATAGAATGGCACGTGGGTTAGGGAATCCTCAGTCTAGCATAAGTGGCATTACGGGAGCCAGACAAATGCACCCTGGCTCAGCTAATGTTTCTATGCTGGGTCAGTCACTGAGTAGGGCTAATATTAGTAACCTGCAACGAGCAATTGGACCCATGGCTCCTCCTAAGTTGATGACGGGCATGAGTCTTTACATGAACCAGCAGCAGCAGCAGCAGCACCAACATCAACAGCAGCAGCAGCAACAGTTGCAATTACAGCAGCAGCAGTTGCAGCAGCAGCAGCAGCAACAATTACAACAGCAAATGCAACAACAGTTGCAGCAGCAGCAAGAAACAACTTCACCATTGCAGGCAGTTGTTTCACCCCCACAGGTGGGCTCACCATCTGCCATAGGAGTTCCGCCGCTGAATCCACAAACCCAACAGCAGCAAGCAAGCCCACAGCAAATGAACCAACGAACTCCGATGAGCCCGCAGCAGCTGAGCTCAGGGGCAATCCATCCCATGAGTGCTGGTAATCCTGAAGCATGTCCAGCTAGTCCACAGTTGAGCTCTCAGACCCTAGGGTCAGTCGGTAGTATCACAAACTCCCCTATGGACATGCAAGGCGTAAACAAGAGCAATTCTGTCAGCAATGCATAGCGAAGTTGAAAGAGCTAAAAGTTCAAGACCAGTGGCGAATGGCCTCTCCTCGTTGTCGACTAAAAGCTATGTTAGAGCAGGAGAATGAGGGTGAATATTTATTTGTTGCCAAAATCGGCAATAAAATTAGCGGTGGCAAGGGATAGGGTGTATATATGTATGTATATTTTTTTTTTAAACTTCTAAATAAACATATAGCAGGTGTCTCCACTGTCTCCACTGTGGTGGGGAATTAATATGCTGCTTAGTTTCACTTCTAGAATTAACATCATGTATCATGTAAATAGTTTGGTGTCCAATGAAAACTTTTGAAACTGCGAATTGTACTTTAGTTGTGAACACTTGACAAAGTTGTCGTATATTAGCCAAGTTTCTTTTATCCAGGTAGATTTTGTCAAGTCCATATGCTTCTGACCAACATTTTTTTTTTACGAGAAATTGGTCAAAATCAAGAAAATCAGGAGTTCCATCGGTACGCTTCGGTCCCTTTGTCTAAAATTATTTTTCTTATTTTTAAATTTTAATTATACACGTCAGGAGCTGCCATTAAGTATTTCTAAGTTATGACTTAAGAAAGACAAATATTTAAACGAGCATGAAGTTTGTGTACATAAAATAAACTATGAATAATCTTATACTACTTTCTGTCTTAATTATAAGACCCAGTTGACTAATTTGAGGAGATTAAGAAAAGAAGTTAAGTTAGTTATTTGTAATAAATAGGTGTTATTTTTATTAAAATATTCTCACTAATCAACTATATTGACTAGGACTACAATTATTAGAAGGGTTACCTAAGGAAAAAATGCATAAATATGAGAAGCAAAGTGGACTGGGATCTTATATTTAGAATCAAAATAAAAGTCAAATATGATCTTATATTAAGGACCGGAGGTAGTATTTAATAATTATTTTATTTTTAAAATTATAAAATACTTGTTAACTTGGAAAAAGACAATAAAATATTTTGAAAATTGCTAAAGGTCAAATTAGTGTGGGTAAATTTTAAAATTTCAATTCAAAGCCCTTGTACTATTTTGAAACCATTCAAAGCCCTTGTATTATTTTGAAGTTTTCAAATCGTCCAAAATTATGCAAATGCCTTTCTTTTATTATTTTTTAAAAATATTACCACATCATCACTTTTAATCGGTTTTTGGTCGTTGGAGTTATGGTGTCAATGACCCTGTTGGTAGCTGGCCGCTAAAGCTCAGGGGACATGTCACCAAAACTAGGGCTATTCATAGAGCCGGGAAAACGGGCCGAGCCCGTCGGGCCGGCCCTTTTAGGCCTTGAAATTATGAGGGCCGGGCTTGATATTTTTCTCTTAAAATGAGAAATAAGCCCTGGAGGGCTGGCCCTGGAGGGCCGAGGGCTTAAAAGGGCCGGCCCTTTTAAGCCCTTTTATAATTTTTTTTATTTTTAATTTTTTTATATAATATTAATGTTATTAATTTTTTACATTGTTAATAATATTTCAAATATTTAGTTATTATTATCATTTTAAAATTAAATTTAGTTTTAGACAATAATTTATCCAATTAAATTTTTAAAAAATGGGTTAATTTGGACTTTAATAATGATTTGATTTATATTATATGCGTTGATATTTTTAAACTATATATATATTTGATAATAGAATATTTTTATACTTATATAACTTGTGATTCTATAATTTGAATTAGAAATTCATGAGTTTCAACAACAATGTTTCTCACATTAAAGTAAAATAATAGTTAGATTGCAAAATTTAAAAATAAAATTCTTATAAAGAAGAAAAACTTGATATTTTTGTTACGAAAGAAAAGCATACTTATGAAGAAAAATAATTAATTATAGTGATGATGAAGTTTCAAAAGATTAATGATAGTGTTTATTTATTGCACAATTGCATTATAGATAAAACTTTTAGATGTTGTTATCTTGTTAATGAATGTTTTAGATGTTCTTAGATGTTGATGAATATTTATATATGATAATATTTTATATTTGTGACTTAATTTTATTCATATTTATGTCTTTTATTAATAATTTCATTGGTTTATTTTTATATTTTTATAAAAAAATATGATAAATATAAAAAATAGTATTTTTTCTTAAACGGGCCAAAAGCCCGCGGGCCGGCCCTGGCCCTGTAGTTTAAGGGCCGGGCCTAGCAAATTGGGGTATTTTTAAAATTTCAGCCCTGGAGGGCCGGCCCTTTTAAGCCCGCCAGCCCTTGAAGGGCCGGTTCTGGAGGGCCGGGCCGGCCCTGATTCCCAGCTCTAGCTCGTCCTGATGAACAGTAATAGGATAACAAAATTGTCTTGTGTCTTGTCCCGTCCCTGTGTTGTCCTGGTCCCGGTCGGGATAGGATCGGGACGTGTCGATATAATTTTTTTTTTCAATTTTTTTGAGTTGTTGGGCACAATAAAATTTGATTTTTTTCTAATTGTAATTTTTTGGGCTTAACCTTTGTAAAAACATCTTTTTGCTTTCTTTTTTATTTCTTTGGGTATCGTTAAACAAAAACCCAAAATATTGTATATAATAGTCATTAAAAACTCTAAATAAAAGTTTTGAACACAATAAAAGCTTGTTAAAAATTCTAATAATCAATAGTCTCAAATCATCAACAAATATAAAAACTCTAAATAAAGGGGTCTATAGTTCTATAGAATAGTCTCAAGTCTTAAAAAAAATGATAAAAAAGATATTATATAAATATGATAAAAAAAAAAGGAACCGGGACGGGACGACCCCGTCTGGGGTCCCATCTCATCTCGGTTTATCTCGTTTTGAAAAATTTCAAGATGGGTCTGTCCTGCCCTAATAAGACCGGGACCAGAATGGGCCCATCGGGACAGGCTAGTGTTGAACACCCCTAACCAAAACTTCAGTGATCGCTCATCAGAGCTTCAATGACTACTCTTTTAAGTTACTAAATATATTTGTTTTTAAAACTCTGATGACTATTTTTGTTTAGTTACTGATTACTCTAGTATTGTGATTGATTACTTTTACTTTTAAAATTTTGGTGACTACTCTTATTTAGCTATTGACTGCTTTTCTTTCAAAAATTTGAAAAATGCATTAAGTGTTGTTAGAGATTTAGTGATTACTTTTTGTTTAGTTATTTACTATCTTTTCGTAGTCAATAGTTATACAAAGTAGTCATTACAATTTTGAAAATAAAAATAGTTATTAGTAAAACTAGAATAATCAATATCTATATAGAAGTAGTCACTAAAAGTAAGGATAATGTTATTTCACAAAATTTTAAAATTTCAAAATAATAAAAGGGATCTGACTTGAAATTTTGAAATTTATCCACCATAATATGTCTTTTAACATGTCTTAGGATATTTTAGTGTTTTTTTCCTATGAACTTTTTCAAATTATTTTTAATTTGTTATCTTTATTCACTTTTTTTGGAAGAATTACAATGAAGTCCTAAGAAAAAAAATAATTACTAAAATATTCTGATAACAACCTAAACAGTATATAATGACATGTTTCAAAGTAAGAAATGATAACTTTCAGAACTTATTTTATAATTATTTTTCTTTCCTCATTCTCATTCTCCCTTTTTCTTTTCAGAACTAGAGAATTTACACAAGAGCCATTGGAAGAAAACATGATATTGAAGAATCATGACTTTGTAAATTGGTTGAAAAGGATCAATATATAAAAAAAGGTAAATGGATGATTAATTCAATCATTTTCAAGATTTATAACTTTCTCTATTTAAAATTGAAAATATATAAATTTAACAATACTTTGATGACTGAATCATGAATTAATACCTCAACTGATTTCTTGGGGAGGCTGAGTTTCAAACTCGGTAAACTTCGATTATTAAAGCAAATTTCAGATGATAATAATAGCGAGCTCTGATAATTTCGACGTGCCTTATCGAGTAGGCGGGGGAAATTTTCGATCATCGTGAACCAGGACTTTTGCCCTGCTCTTTTGAGTGCTTTCCCGTAAAAATTCTCGGCTTTTCCCCTCACACTCCCATTTCTGAAAGTCCAGATATTGGCATCATCGAGTGATCAAGGAACCATCAACTGATGGCATAAGAAGAAATGCCGACAAATATGCATCAATTCCGTGCAGTGCACTTGATGTGGTTTAGATGGGATGAATAGTCAGTGTGCTAAAATAATAGAGATTTTGTGTGATCGAACAGCCGAAGCTTTCTTGCTGTGTTCTTTTGGTGTTAGCTCACAGCAAAGCCAACATGTCAATGTCCATGGCCTTCCAGCTATCGGAGTCCATGACTCGCCCGCCACTAGACCCATTCATATATCACTCTCAATTTTCATCCAAGCGAGCAAAACTACCTTGCTTGTCCTTCCAGCCCTCAAAATCCTTCCAATCTAATTTTTTCATACTTGATCAACCTGTGAACTCAACCACTTATGCCTTTATTCTCGAATCTTGTGTGTGCCCGAGTTTGGGCAAACAGGTTCATGCTCACTCAATCAAAACTGGGTTTCAAGAGCATGAATTTGTCGATACCAAGTTGCTTCAGATGTATGGAAGAACCGGCTGTTTTGCTGATGCAAGTTTGATGTTCGACAAAATGCCGCTTAGAAACTTGTATTCATGGACAGCGATCCTGAGTGCTTATGTTGATCACGGGTTATTTGAGGGAGCGTTTCTTCTTTTTCAAGAACTACTATGCGAAGATGTGAAATTGGACTTCTTTTTGTTCCCTGTGGTGTTAAAGATATGTTATGGTCTTGGTGCTTTGGAATTGGGCAGGCAACTACATGGGATTCTATTGAAAATTCAGTTTGGTACAAATATATATGTAGGCAATGCTCTGATCGACATGTATGGTAAATGTGGAAGCCTAGACAATGCTAAGAAAGTTCTAGAAAGAATGCCTAAAAAGGATTGTGTTTCATGGAATTCTATTATAACTGCTTGTGCTGCAAATGGGATGGCATATGAGGCTCTGGATCTCTTACAAGATATGTCTCTGGGCGATGTAGTACCCAATTTAGTTTCTTGGAGTGCAGTGATTGCAGGATTTGCACAAAATGGTTATGATGAGGAAGCAATTCAACTACTCTTTAAAATGCAAGCAGCTGGGCCTGAACCAAATGCACGGACGCTGGCAAGTGTTGTTCCTTCTTGTGCAAGGTTACGAAAACTGAGCCTTGGGAAAGTACTTCACGGCCATATCATTAGACATGATTTCACGTCTAATGCTTTCGTCATTAATGGGTTATTGGACATGTATAGGAGGTGCGGTGATATGGAAAGTGCCTTCAAATTGTTTTCCAAGATTTCAAGGAAATGCTCTGCATCTTATAACACAATGATAGCAGGGTATAGTGAAAATGGCAACATCTTTAAAGCCAGGAGGTTATTCGATCAGATGGAGGAGGAAAGTGCTGAAAGGGAAAGAATATCATGGAATTCAATGATTTCAGGATACGTGGACAACTTTTTGTTTGATGAAGCCTTGAGTTTGTTTCATGAGTCGCTGAAAGATGGAATTACTCCAGATTCATTCACTCTTGGAAGCGTTCTTACTGCTTGTGCTGACACGGCTTCCGTTCGACAAGGGAAACAGATACATGCCCATGCCATCGTCAGAGGTCTGCAATCCAACAGTTTCGTAGGTGGAGCTTTGGTAGAACTTTACTTTAAATGTCATGACATGTTTTCTGCTCAAAGGGCTTTTGAAGAAGTAAGTGAAAGGGATGTCGCAACTTGGAATGTTCTGATATCTGGCTATGCGCACTGCAATCAAACTAAAACGGTTCAAGAACTTCTCGAGCGAATGATGAATGACGGTGTTGAACCCAGTGTGTATACTTGGAATGGTATTTTGGCTGGGTGTGTGGAAAATAGCCATTATGGTTCAGCAATTCAATTGTTCACTAAGATGCAAAACCCAAATTTGAAGCCAGACATATACACAGTCGGAATAATATTGACCGCATGCTCTAAGTTGGCCTCCATCCAACGAGGAAAGCAGGTTCATGCATATTCAATTAGAGCAGGGTTCGATTCAGATGTTCACGTTGGAGCTGCCTTAGTGGACATGTATGGGAAATGTGGGAATATCAAGTATTGCATGATTACTTATAACAGAATATTAAACCCTGACTTGGTGTCCGACAATGCTATTCTTACTGCTTATGCCATGCATGGACATGGGGAGAAAGGAATTGCTCATTTTCGCAAAATGTTAGCTGGCAAAGTTAGACCAGATCATATCACTTTTCTATCGGTTCTTTCATCATGCGTTCACGCCGGATCAATTGAGATGGGTCATGACTGTTTTTCGCTGATGGAAACTTACAACTTGACACCTACATTGAAGCATTATACATGTATGGTTGACCTCTTGAGTCGTGCAGGCAAACTCAATGAAGCATATGAACTTACAAAGAAAATGCCAATGGAAGCTGATTCTGTGATGTGGAGTGCTCTGCTTGGAGGCTGTTTTATTCACGGTGAAGTTAACCTGGGAGAAATTGCAGCTAAAAATCTCTTAGAGTTGGAACCTAATAACACTGCAAACTACGTTCTGTTAGCGAATTTATATGCTTCAGCAGGGAGATGGAATGATCTTGCTCAAACCAGACAGTTGATGAAAGACGAAGGAATGCATAAGAGTCCAGGATGCAGTTGGATAGAAGACAAAGATGGGGTTCACGTGTTTCTTGCCAGTGACAGAAATCATGCAAGAACAGAGGAGATATATTCTACTTTGGATAATTTGACCCATCACATTAGAACAAGGCATATAGATCGTTTCTAACACGAGAAGTTTGTTTCCCCCTCTGTACATAATGTACTTACTAAAAGGAACTAATAAAGCTGACGAGGGAGAGAAAAAGAGATCTACAACACAATTAAAGCATGGAGAGAAGCCTCTCCTTCTCTGTCTTAACATGACTCCTAGAAATATCCTTTAGGCTAGGGCATCCAGCCAGAGCCATGGTGAGCTCAAGCTCTGTCTTGAGTGTTTCAATGACTTGTCTCACCCCACCTTCCCCTTTTGCAGCCAGTCCATAGATTGCAGGCCGTCCAACCTGCATGAATCAGTACTTGGTGACAGTTATTGTTGAATCTAAGAGAAATTTTTAATATTCATAATCTTAATAGATATCATAGAAGTTTATTAATCTGAATATTTCCGGTTCTCTAAAACCTAATAATCAAGTATATATGCTCAAATGCGGGTAATGGAGTGGGAGGAGAGAGAAGGAAGGTTTCATTGGAACTTTTCACTTATTTGGGAGTAATTAGAAGTAAAGGAAAAATAATGACGAACTTTCAACCAACCTCTCAAAATCATCCAAAGTCCTGCCCTTGTGGATTTTTAAGCTTCCTCTAAATTGGGAGGTTAAGGAGGAAAAGGCATTTTCCCCGGATAAATGGGAATTATCATTTGACCATTGACCTCATCCTTCTCGTCCTTTATTTCTTTGAATTTTTTTTCACTTGGCGAATTTTATTCTCACTTGAGGAATATGATATGCGAAGAATATAATAGGTTATATAATATCTATGAATCCGATCTATGCAGCTATGACCATCTCCTGCCCCTCAACTCTCAAACATACCCTAAAGAGGAGTTTAGTCAGGTGGAATTATGTGCTTAGAAGTCAGGTATCATCTCCACAAAGTCACCAAAATCAATACATGCCATGGCTATGTAAGTGGACGGGGTTTAGTTGCTAATTGTTTTCCAGCACAGCAGTAGGATTCTTGAACGCCGAAAATGGGTTACAACAGATAATTTTATCAGCCAGGGTTGAGAGCTTACAAGGACAGCTTGTGCACCAAGGGCTAAAGCTTTAAATACATCTGTTCCTCGCCGCACACCACCATCGAGGAGCACAGGAATTTTACCTTTGGTAGCACGCACTACCTGCATTCATGGGTTGCCAATATGAATTATACTGGATGTGCTAAACCCCTTTCGTAATTGGATCACACATGAGTATTCTAATTACATGGCATAGCAACCATGTATAACAACCTATATTAAATCAGATTTCTTTTATGCATTCTACTTTTAACCACACTTTTGAACCCCAGATATATTCTTTTTTGTACTTGGAAACATGTCAAGTGCTATATTCATACAATTGGATGTGAGCCCTGTTCATTACGCGCAGTTTGATGAATGAGTTGTATTATTTGTAGCTTGATTGGTATAATCTGCTATAAATTTTATATTTCATTTCCTCTAGTGTCCCATAAATGAGGCAGATTTTAGAAGCAAGTTTTGGGCTTTCATGTAAGGCATTTTGGAGAGCCAATGAAGCATTAAAGAATGTTTCCCAAAATTTCCCTTCATTTAATGTCAATCATGTGCTGCCAAAAAACCTTTTTTTTTCCCCCAATGAAATGCATAAAATTTAATTTCTATTTTTGCGACAGTGAATGTTGTTCACTACATCACAGTTTTTTCGCCCTGCTTCTAAATTGCAGGCAAAATTGCCCGTTGTAGCAGCAATTTTTTGCCACAACCCGATCAAGCTAAACAGCTACATTTCCCATAAGTTCCCGTTCTTTCAAAGCCCTTTTTCTTCTTCTTCTTCTTTTTTTTTTGTTTTGTTTTCTTTTGTGAGAAAAAACCCATATGTTTCGAAGATAAGAAGAAAACGTGTATTGAATTTACTTAATGAAATCTTATATAAAGAATCACCTCTTCTAGCACAGAAATGGTGGCTGGCGAATAATCAAGCTGGCGGGCTCCATGATTTGAGACAACTATGCCAGCAACACCTACTTCCACCGCCATAATTGCTGCCAGTACGATCCCATTACATATTAACTAATATGAAGATAAAGAGGTCAACGAGAAACATGAGAATGAACTATCAAATATATTATTCATTGCAAAATGTAGGCAGAAGCCTCAAGAGATAAGTTTCGAAAATTGATGGGTATGAGCATACCATGACATCAATATAATAATAAATCAACAGAAGGATTTCTATTTCTGAATTTCTGAGAGATAAATGAATCAATGTTTTTCTCATTAAAGCGCAGAGATCTCAGAGGATGTCCTTTTAAGGGCTTAACCAATTCTTTGGAAAATGAATAATCAAGTAGAGTAGATATACTATGCTTTTACATACCATCTTCACCGGTAAGTACACCCTTGATAAGAATTGGCAGATTCGTAATAGATTTCAACCATGCTATATCCTGCAGACAGTACGGTGCTCAAGTTAGCAAATAATTGTTTAGGATCTTGCCATCAACATTTAAAATGAGAGTGCATTACATAAACTTATGATAACATCTTAGGCATCAAGCCTCCAGAGACAATCAGCCAAGCCATATTACTGCACTCGTTAAGCTAGATGATTAGTAGTTTTCCTAAAAATACGTTACTCCAGTTTAATATCATTGGTTACTGCTACACTTAAATATACAGAAGCCGGAAAATTAGTACCCACTGAGTAAAGCATAATTTACATCCTCCAGAGTGATATTTGTTAAACCATAGTCTAAGAAGTTTAAAATTGTCATGGGATTTTCTGAGGAAGAACATTTTTGCGTGCTTGTGTGCTTCTTTCAATAATAGAAAATTTGCTTTTGGCCATTTCATAAAACATTGCTCATCTCCTGATTTTTGAGACATTTCCTAGGAGTATGAAAAGGGAAATCTGAGCTCTTACTCAATTCTTATCCATACCTTCCATTGCAATGATGCATCTAATGTCTGATTTGCATAAGCTTCCAAACCTGAACCATTGTCCTGAAAGTTTAACTCAGGGTTAACAATTTTATTCAATAAAACCCATCAATGCAGTTCTAGGACATCATTATAGTAATATATCCTCATGCATTTATGCAAGCGCATAAAGCATGTCTTTTGATGTGATTATGAACACACATTTTCATGCACAATGCTGATCTTTTGACAATCCTAAAGGAAAAATTAAAGATAAATAACTGAAGAAATAAATGTTTTAACACAAATCCAGGATTTATTTCTTCAGCATATTCTGAAAGGAGAAAGATAAGATGGGAAAAGCAACACAAGATATTGCTATACCAGTAATAAATTTGATGCATTGTTGTTTGGGTTACTTATATCTCATCATATATCCCAATATTGAAGTGATCTAGATAACCTACCAGCCAATAAAATATAGCATCATGTATGAGTTCATGCTATGTGTGGGGTTCAGGGAGGGTTAGACCGACTTTACATCTATTATACGCTTTCCCCTAGATTTTTGCAGGAGGTTATTTCCATAACTTGAACTTGTAGCCACTAAGTCACATGGCAACAACTTTACCATTGTGCTAAGGCTCTTCCTCATAACCTACCTACTCAGCAAATTCTCAAAAAGCTGGCTGAGCAAATATGGACATAATCATTAATGTTAATATAATCCAAAGCATTACGCACACATATTTGAATAACACAACATTCATCTTTATCTTATTAACTACAAGGAGATTCATGTGATCCCAATTTTACTCTCTCTCTTTTTTTGGTGTAAGTTCATAGCAGGGTTATTATGTCTTGATGTTTTTGTCTCAGTTGGAAATCCACAAAAAAAAAAAAAAAAAAAGCCGTGGAAGGAGGATGAGGGAGGAATTGATGATAAAATGAGGTTCATTCATGATTATTAGTACATGTTAATCAAGATGCTTGAATTAGTGTCCAACTCTTTCTTTAATAATAGGAGCACTAGAGTTTGATCAATATAATAGTTAACAAGAGAAGGGACTCTAATTGTTTCAAGTTATTTTTCAAAATTTCTACCAATAACAGAACTACTTCACAGGAGCCTTAACATTGCACATAAGATGTAACTTTTGTGTGGCCTATGATTTAAGTAATTTTGTAGAAACACATAGAATAATTAAAAAATATGCATGTTTTGAAATCATAGATAACCTATTACATTTTACATGGTGGCGTAGGAATATTGTAAATGATGAAATTGCCAATGGGATTGAAAGTTGAGATATGAAAGGTAAGAATTTGAGTCATATGGATATATATTCTACTTACAGACTCAAGTTCAGTTGAGAAAAGGCCATCAAAATTCTTTAATTTAGGTGAAATCATTCTGCAGAGGACATTGCAACAAGCATTAGGAGACAGTTTGCAGCATCAATCTTCATATTAGATTTTGCAAGTTGTTCAGACTTATTAGTGGGGAATACAGCATATACCCAAAAAAAAAAACCAATTACTTGTTTCTTATGTCCGCTTCTCTTCGACCAAGTCGGGGAACATCAACAGTTAGAACGAGGGCTTTATATCCAAGCCTTTCAGCTCTATCCACTAATGCAGCTGTCACATCTCGCTTTTGTAAACCTGGTGAACAATATCGCAAGATTAAAGTTTAAATTCAACAAATGATATTAAAAAAGGAAAGAGGAGGTGATAAAATTTGGCATAAAGACAAAACCAAAAAAAAATGAAATCAGTTATTTGAGAGCAATACATAGAGCTGGAAGAACCGAACAGCATTGCAGCTCGAAGCAACCTCCTCCACAGTGCAGGTAGACATGAAAGACAGAACCTTTAAAAAAACATGGAAACTTTCAGAAAGTCAGCATGGTGTTTGAGCAAGTGATGAGGCTTTCTTTCTTAAGTATACCATTATGGTGTTACATGCAGCTGCTGCTTTGGCTGTGGCAACCTCTCCTGCAGTGATAAATGACAGAAAAATGAAATAATTTACATGATGGAAATAGAAGGTGAATGAATACGCAATCATAATCATGTCTTTCTGATAATTCATACCTTCAGGATGAGCCAACTTGTGCATAGCAGTAGGAGCAATCATGATTGGCGCGGAGATTTTGTATCCCAGTACAGTAGTAGACATATTTATTCTACTAACATCCACTAGAACTCTAGGTCGTAAGCTGAGGAATGAGAAACCATCCAAAAAATGCAACCCATCAGTATATGCTAACTATTTACCACAATCAGAAGATCATCAGTGAAGGTCAGTACGTAATCCTACGAAATGCTTCCATATTTTCCTTCAGTGAGAACTCGTCTTCAGCTCCACCAGCATAGAAATCATAATACATTTTCGGGAGGGCCTCTTTAGCCAACTGCTGGAACTCCCTAACATTGACCGGCTCAGGTGCCATTTTCCCTGAAAATTTTACATCTGTAAGTTCACACTACTTGTAATTCTTAATTTTTTGGCCAGCTTGTAATTCCTAATACCCTGATGCAGATAACAAAATGAGTTAAAATACTGGTGATCATTCATGAGTTTTTGTTTTTTGGGGGATGCGGAAGATGTGGACTATGTATGCATCTCCTTAGAACCGATAACTTGAAAAATATATATCCACCAGGACCACCGCAATTGGATCATCCACTTAGTTTACTTAAATCACGCTTTCCGAATCAAATTATTGACACAATCTTCTAACGTATCTCATCCGTTCATGGACACATATATCTTTCGTCAATAGAAAGCAATAATTTAACCAAAAACCAAAATGTGAGTTGATGAAAGAACTAGATTCAGAATAGAGAGGACTTGAAAATGGGGGATCAAATTGGCAAAGCTTGCATGTTTTAACTAACAAAGCAAATGAAGATATTTCCCAACCATCCGCTCAGAGGCAGTAAATATCATCCACATTAATATTGGTCTCAAGCATTTAGCAAAACTATGCAAGAGAACATAGCTGCATTAGATCCGAAATAGTCCAAAGAAGTGAGAGACCAGGGAAAATTAAGAGTGATCAGATTGATCAAGAGTACGATCAAGTGCGCTGTGCTAGTTAAAGAAAGGCGTGGGATACCTGTATCAGAGCTGAAAATCCACGAGCCGTAAAGAAATTTGAACAGCCAAAACAGCTATAAATGAAACTGCTCCTTTAAATTACTTTTGAACGGTCAGTCGACGGAACACGAGCGATTAATATATGGAACTGTAAATGAAGCACAGATACAATGAAGTGAAGAAGATGGATTATGTGCCCACAGAGTCAACCAGCAATTGCCGCCATACCACCTCATTAGCCGAGTCATGGGACCAATCCCAATGATTGCCGGAAAAAATAGTTTATTTATATCATTATATGTACACTTTCAATCTTTCTAATACTTTCCATCTGATTGGTTGGAAGAGGAACACCCCAGATAAATAAGTAAATAAATACTACCTCCGTTCCTTAATATAAGACTCTATTTGACTTTTATTTTGGTCTTAAATATAAAACTCCAATCCACTTTGTTTCTCATATTTACTCAATTTTTTCCAAGATAATCCTTCTAATAATTATAGTTATAGTTAATACACTTGATTAGCAATGATATTTTAGGAAAGACAACACATATTTAGGACAAATAACTAACTCAACTTACTTCCTTAATCTCCTCAAATTAGTTAACTGACTCTTATAATTAGGACCAGAGGTAGTAGATAAATAAATTATGGCTATATAAATAAAGCTTGTAATCTAGTGACAAGTAGACTCATTTTGTAAGTAAGACATCGCAATTTGATCCTACTTATAACTTTAACCGAGTACTCATCCTTTTAATTAAATATCACTTCCGATCTTTAACATAAGATCTCGTTTGACTTTTATTTTGGTCCTAATTATAAGACCCTAATCCATTTTGTCTATTATATTTGTACTCCTCCGGTCCTAATTATAAAACCCAATTGACTTATTTGAGGAGATTAAGGAAGTAAGTTAAGTTGGTTATTTATAATAAATAATGTTGTCATTCCTAAATATCCTTGCTAATTAAGTATATTGGCTAAAACTATCATATTAGAAGGATTATCTTGGAAAAAAATGCATAATATAAGAGACAAAATGGATTGGGGTCTTATAATTAGGACCAAATAAAAAGTCAAATGGAGTCTTATAATAAGGGCCGAGGAGTACATTTTTTTAAGATAATCCCTCTAATAATGATATTTCTAGCCAATAAACTTGATTAGTAAGGATATTTTAGGAAAGACAACACATGTTTATTACAAATAACTAACTTAACTTATTTTCTTAAACTCCTCAAATTAGTCAATCAACTCTTATAATTAAGACCGGACGTAGTAACTTTTTAGTTGTAAGTCTTTTGACAACCACAAATACATGAGTGTTTTTTTTTTTTTTTGGGACTGGAATATGTGTATATATTTTTATTACATGGAGTAGCCATGACTCTGGTCAAGAAAACTTCAATCACCCTTTCTTGAACTAATCAAGAAGGTGAATCTATGTGCATGTGTATATGTATTTCTTATAAATAAAAAAATCCACTTTAAATACAATTAATATGGGGCTAAGTACGTTCTTTGTTTGTGTCTAAAGAAGTCGGAAATCATAAATTTTAAGATTTCTATTTGTTAACGGGTGACGCACTTTGTTACGTTATTTTTGAATTTTTATGTGTAAATGATCATGACGATCTCATTACATTTGTTAGCTTGAACGAATTTTCGTTTAAAAAAGAATTGTATGCTGACGATAAAAATTTGAATGAGTAAAGCTAAATTACATGATTCGTCATCCATTCTTAACTGAAAAAATGCCGGCAAAACTGATGCCTGATGACCATGTTTGACTCCAAATGCAACTATTCATTCATCCACATATGAATAATATATTACCTCTGGTTTAAATAGATTAAAAAATTTGTTAAGTCAGTTATTTATAATAAATATGTGTTGTCTTTTTAAAGTATTCTTATTAATCAAGTGCATTATCCAAAACTATCATTATTATAAAAATTACTTTGAAAAAAATAAATAAATATAAAAGACAAAGTGGATTGGGATATTATATTTAAGACCAAAATAAAAGTCAAACGAATTATTATATTAAGGACTAGAGGTATTATAACTTTTTTTGTTACAAAAAAGTTTAGATGAATTAAACTCTAGAATTCACAGAGAGTGGTTATAGTTATATAAGTATTTACAAATTGCTTGCCAACAAAGTCTTGATATCGACGGTGAGATTTGAACTTATGACTTTGTGAGTTCTGAGTCGATTCTTTACCCAATTGAACCAACACTTGTTGCTTAAATAATATACAAGGTTAATATAATCTTTTTTTTTTTGGTGATATGTTAATATAATTTTTTGTTCCTCAAGTTTGTTCTTGTTTTGTTTTGATCTTTTAAATTTTAAACTATAAGTTTAAGTCTCTCAAAGAGTAAAGTGATCTAAGTTTTTATTGAATTATGAAAACTAATATTTTAAATAAAAAAATATTAGGGACTAAAACTTATGGTTTAAAGCTTGAGAGACCCAAACCAAAATGAAGACAAATTTGAGAGATGAAAAATTATATTAACCTGTAATATACAACTTTAAATGCTATGAAACCTAACTGCTTTTACTTTGGTCTTATAGATCAAGAGTGGGAAGTGAAGTTTCTTAATAGAATTAGTATTTTTTTATACTTCGGAAATAATATAGAATTCGTATTAGTATTGTTTATACATAATTATTTTCATGCGATGAAACATAACTGGGTATAAAAAGTGAATTAAGAGAATTCTTTTTAATAAAGGCCAACAATCCAAGGGATTTTTTTTTCCAAAAAAAAAAGTGGATGCATCTATGGCTTTCAACTTGAGCCTCTGTCATTTTTGTCCCTGCCAAAATTAAGTTTAGCTCAATTTTAGGTTTCAAAACGGTGCAGCACACATAAGCCCCCATCGAAATCAGAGCTAAACCAATTTTGGACTCCAAATGGTGTGCAGTTATTTCAATGTGATGTTCACGCAAGTCCCTACAAAAACTAGGGCTGGCACAATTTTAGACTTCAGACCGTATGGTACATAAGACTCGTTGAAATCAAGACTATCCCGCTAGGGGGAAAAAATCAAGACTATCCCAATTTTGGACTTCAAATTGTGCATAGTTACAGACTCTAATGTTATCTCACACAAGTCATTGTCATAACCTAGTTTATTTTGAAGTTTGTTAAGAATGGTTGGCCCTGATTTAGCATGGACTTGTGTATTAAGAATAAAGAACTCTAGAAAAATCCTTGATTCGAAGTCATATGTATCAACTTGTTTTGTTGGGCAATGTCCTTCTCCTCATTTCTGTTTGCTCCATGTAGTATGTAGTATTTAGTATGCTATTATTAGCATGCGATCAAGTTGTAGGCTATGATCTTTGGAACATAAGAAGAAAGCTATGATCTGACATCATGTAAAAATCTGCAGTTGTCTCCAAAACGACACCTACCTTGATCATAATATTTGCAAGGTTGTTTTTGCTTAAAGGATTCTCCGTTTAGGGTTAACGGAAACAAGTAATTGGCGCTTGTCAAAGGTTTTCTCTGGTAAGACCATTGTGCAAGCCTGTTTGTCGATGTACTGCAACAGTAATTCTCAGTAAGCTCAGAAGCGATGAGTTTCTCTTTGAAATGGTGAGGCCTTGTTGCAACTCTTTGGCCTTGTTCAAAGCATAATTTTAGCTTCGCTCGATCGATGCATCTGGATTCTTGATGTTGATATTGTGTCTTCGTCGTGAGTGGATGTGATTGAGATTGGTTACTTGATAACTCCTTCCTGGAAACCCTAAACAAACAAGCTAAGCAACTTCAGAATATAGAAGATAATTAAATGATAAAACTAGACAATTTTATCCTGTTGGCCTTTTCTATTTTTAATCTCCAAATAATAAATGTATCATGTAGTCTTTGAAACCCCAAAAGCATGAGACTTTTGAAAAATCCCATATTGAGTAATGGGATACTTGAGTGAGCTACAGGATTTAGGTTTTTCCACTAGGGGCCAATTGATGAGGACTTGATAGTTTGAGATACAAAGTCTCACATTGAGTAAAATAGGATGCTCAGTAAGATATTTAAGTGAGTTGGTTCTCCCACCTCAACAGCTAGCTTTTGAGTTATGATTCCTCATCCTAATTAGGTACTCATTAGTTTCACATATTTATTTTGTACTAAGTTAAAAGGATTTCTTTTGCCATATTAGAGAACAATTTGTTGGGGCTGGACTCCCTTGAGTCCCTTCTTATGTGAAGAAAAGCCTAATATTTGAAACTTATTTGAATCTCACTTATTAAGATGGAGAGAAGGCATATTAGGGTAAGTGTGAGAGGTCTTATTGAAGGGAGAAGAGCAGCCACTTGGAGAGAGAAGAAGAGAGTCATTTTCGGATCTTCACATGGCAATCTCAGTAAATTGGCATTTATGCATTCGTTAGCTATTAGATCAGGATGAAATTTTGCCAGCAAGTATGTGACATCTAGTACGTCATTTGTTGGATTATTGATTCCTTACAGCCTCTAGTTTGGGTATTTTTTCAGCTTGTCCATTATCTATGGTAAACCCGTAGCTTTGGTTGTTTGACTGTTGTTTGTACTTTTTTGTGCATGTAATTGGACTGGAGCTGATCTTTATTAGTTTAGATGACCGGTAGTTTTTACTTTTACATTAAGGAGTTTTTTATGTTAATAATTTTGGTGTCTATTGTGCTATTTAATTGCTGCCATGTATTTGTTTTGTTTTCTCAAAGATTCTTGCGAGTGTGAGAAAATATCTCATCACAATTTATGATGCAATAAGTATAGTGTTTTAAGAGAACTTCCCTAATTGTAAATTGGATCGAATTAATTTGGTGATTAGCATACCTGTTGTCCCTACTTGTTTTCCTCCTTTCCTTTTCTTGTATCCTTGCTTCTCTGTTGGCCCTTGCAGCATTTCCCCTGGAGTGTTTTTCCATCAAAATTTTCTGCCTTTTCCCTTCATCATCCCATCTCTGAAAGTAAAGACATTGACTCGTCAATTCAAAAGGACAAGGAGCAATCAACTAATGGCAAAAGAAATGCTGGCAAAACAGGAACCTGTCTCAAAGTCTTCAACCTATAAAGGTTTCGACCCTTAATTAATAGGGGGTACAGTGGAGGAAGAAGCTTCTCTCCCTTGCTCCACAGTACTTCAATCTGTATCAGAATAGGCAAACAAATAAACAGATATAATCTGCCTGCTTCATCGGACCGAAATACACAATGTTTATTTTTATTTTTTTTGCTGTGCAATTATTATTAATGACTTGTATTAACCATGATAAAGGTGGTTAGTCCTTTTAAGAGAAATATCTTCTCACCGTAAATGTATGCTGCTGCTTCGCAGCGCCATAGCTTTCCTTCACTATACGACCTGCAACAATACTTTTGCCACAAGGCGGACCACTGGCGCTCCTAGATGCTACGCTGAACCTGAAAAATGTACTTCAGACATCTGTTAAAAAATTTAAAAAAAAAAAATTCAGATAATGCAACTGGAAGAAGATGGTAATTATTACTATACATTTTCATCACCATCATTAATTTTTCCTTATTTCAAATTGGGCAAGAACGGGACTGGGCATTATAATAATGTTCTGTGAGTAAAGCTTCATGAGGGAGAAATATTATACCGTGCTCATTCAAAATAACCGCGGACAAAATGTAGTAATGTTCTCTAAGCTTCGTGATGAAGTATAAGAAAATAAGAAAAATAAAAAATGCAGCTTACATTTCGTAGACATTTTGCTCAAACAGAACAACATCACCGGTGCATGCATCACCTGCATGAAGCAATCTAATCTTAATTTTGGTCCAGACAAATTCGATAATTATCATTATATTGAACAACTCATGAGTCCTCAAAGATCTCTACCTTTACAATTCTGAACAAAGCTAGAAGGCGGGTACTTCCTCTCTCCTCCACCATTTATAATCCTGGAAATCCAACGAAGTCAAAAAAGACCACGTGTTTTTTTTTTTTTACTGAAGGACAACTTCATATGTATAAATTGATAATTACTCGAGATGCTCCCTTATTCGTTGAATGAGTGTGTCCTTATTTCCTGTCAATCTCAGTCCATTCTTCCTCAGATACAACTTGCATTCAGGTACTTTTAGTTTCTCCAATTCTTTCTCTGCCAATCAGAACAATGACAGAGATATGATGAGATCCTAACATCAAGAAAATTCACAATATGATAAAATCAACGTTTTCCTCAGATGCAACTTGCATTCAGGTACTTTTAGTTTCCCCAGTTCTTTTCGCTACCAATCAGAACAATGACAGAGATATGATGAAATCTTAACATCAAGAAAATTCATAATATGATAAATATCCACGTTTTGTTGGCAAAGTAGAGTATAGGTTATGACCTAAACCAATACTATCCTTTTTTTTATTGGTAAATGCACTTGTATTGTTCTAGCCCAACAGAAGGCAACTCTCAATAATAAGAGAAGACATGTTTTTCGCCAGATGATGGCTCTTCCCACTTAGAAAAAGGAAAGAAAATGAGAGGGAACAGGATATTTACAACAAGAAAAGAGAGTCCCTGTATATGCATTCCAGAATTTATTCAACTTCTTTCAGATACAACAACGGAGAAGGATTAAAGCTTTACGGTAAAATTTTTAGGATAGTGAAATGATATATCTGATGAGAGTAAAGTAAAAGGAAGCCAAGGCATTCGGTCAACGTTCTATTTGTGAATTTAATAAACTAACCTTCTATGATTTTTTGTACTTTATCAAAATTTTTCTCATCATTCTCATCAAGACCGGGTTCAGTCTTCTGCTCATCTGGGTCAATCTCCATTCGCCAAACCTCACCATCAAAAATACTGGACATGACGGAATCGTTATGTATTGAAACTGAAAAGCAGATTACAAATGAAATGTCAAATAAACCAGAAAATTACCTCGTCTTAGCCTTCTTCTTTCCGATTGAGAGATTTGAAAACTTGCTATAGGTTTCTTCGGTTATGTCAAAATCGGGATCTCCTGCCGAATCATCCGAAAACGAATCAAGATCGGACCCTTCAGCTTCACTGTAAATTTCGCACACCTCCATTTGTGAATCTATCGTGGCCGTTGATGGGTATGGCTCCTGACCAATTTGGTTAAGTCTTCAAGCAAAATGTTCTTAGACCGTTGCACGATCTGCCTTGAACTTCAACTCAAAACTCTCCGAGAATCTTTTAAAATGAATCAAGTAAATGTTCTGCGACCGTTGCTTTTTTTCCTTTTTTTTTTGGGGGGGGGGGGGGGAATGTTGGGACTTGGGGTACGGGTGACCGTTGCTTCTTTTATTATTTTTTTTGTAACAAAATTTTGAAAAAGGATAGATCATACCAATGTTGGGCAAGGAGAGCCGTCAATAGCCTCAAGTGTTTACCTAGGCATCGAAGAGCTAAAATGCCTCCCTAAAACTAAATGCCGCGAAGTAACCACAACAAAATTATACCCCTCCGTCCTTATTATAAGAGACATTTGATACTTATGGCATGTTCCTATATATAAGAGACACTTCAAGTGTCTCTACTTTTTTGTGTTGATTACTATTTTACCCATATTTATTATCTCCAACTCACACTCCTCTCCCTCACCACTTCTCTTTCTTTTAATGATTAATTGTTCTCTCTCTGCTCTCTCTCTTATTGATGAGGGTATTTTTGGAAAAAAATTATACTTTTTACACATTAATTGTTCTTAACTAATTTTAACTATTTTTTTGATCAACGTACTTCGGTTATTTGTCTCTTATAATAAGGAACGGAGGGAGTACTTTTTAAGGATCGAACACATGCCAACTTAGTCATATGTCTCACTCCTTCACCAGCTGAACTCACGGACGATGGGTTGCTTCTCTTTTAACCCGTTTGGTCATTAACCAAAATTTTCAAATTTTCTTTTAGGCCTACAAGACTTGAAATTTCCATGGGCTCTCACTAAACCAGTAAACCATAATGAGCATAGGCCCATTTAAAAGACGAGGGGAAAAGAAGTAAATATCGGTAATTTTATCTCATTAAACATATTTACCATAAATAAAATATTTATTGATGATTATAATGCTAAAACATATGAGAAGGTGTAGAAAACGTTTTCCCCTTTTATATCTATTTTTATTTTTGGATTCATTATACAAAATTAATTTTATAAATAAAAATTAATTCAGATTGTAAATATAATCTTCATAATTTCTATTTATTTTTTTAATACAAATGGACAAGCACTAAAAAATTCATTTTCTTCACAAAATTTGAGTGGATCCCACATCGAAGATGATTTCTTTTGAAACAGTACTACCTTCGGTCCTAATTATAAGACCCCGTTCATAGACTATAAACAGAATCTTATAATTAGGAAGAGGTAGTAAATTATATCGTGAAAATTCACTTTCGGAAATATCTGAGTGAGAATCTTTATACGAGTTTCAGCATTGTGCTGGATTGGTAATTTGGTTTGCCTTATATGGAATGAAAATGGAAGTTTCAGAATTATGTTTAGTTGGGAGCAATTTTTTGTTTATTATGTGTGACTAATTTGCTATTATGAATTTCAGCTCAGCATTTGGTTTCATTAAAAAAAACCGACAAAATAGGGTCTACCTGAATAATTTTATTTCCTTTTCAATTATTTTATTTTCTCCTTTTTTTATCAAATAAAGTAAATATATCATTCCTTTTAAATTTTTAATATTTTCTATTAAAAAAATACCACAAGAGTATTTCAAAAAGGAAAAAAATTTCTATCAGCTGAGAGTATTAAAATTAAAACCTTCTTAACAAGTGCGCTTCTCGATATTTAAACTTATGTTCTTCTCTCTATAGAATAAAATTACTTATTATCTTAACCAATAACTTGTTGATTGTTTTTTCATATCGGTTTATAATTAAATACTAATATTTTAAAAATAGAATACATAGCTATTGTGAGTAGAGGACTTGACAAAATAGATATAGAGAACTTGAAATAAATATTATCTTAAATGTAAAACAGATTTAATTTTTACTTATATGTATTCACACTTTTCATCTAATCTAATTTTATGTAAGATAACACTTCCCTTCATTTTTTTATTAGACTTTGATTTAATTTCAAACAAAAATACTTTGACATCAATGTCTTTAGAGTTCAGAAAGTCTTAACTCTTAGCAGGTTTTATTTTTTTTTGGTAACCAGATTAACAGGTTTTATATGACGAACTCCTAAAATATATTATTCAATATCATCTCTTGTTTTAAAACTTAAAAATTTATTTTGTGAATTTCTTCGCTTATATATTCTTTCTCTTAGTCGATTTTTTTTAAAAAAAATACAGTAATTATTTTGGTTCTAAATACAAGACTTCAAGCCACTTTGTTTCTCATATTTATTTTTTTAAAAAGATAATCCTTATAATAATAGTAGTTTTAAACAATACACTTAATTAACAAGGATAATTTAAAAAAGACAATACTTATTTATAAATAATTAATATGACTAATTTTTTTAATTTACTCAAATTAGTTAACTAGCTTTCATACTAAAGACCAAATGTATTATTAAGTAAGGACTGGAGATGGCATTTTTTTTGGCATCACATCTTTTACGAATATTTAGACCATATAGGAAGTCAAATTATGTGACTTGTTAGCTTAATAGTATTTCTTGAGCTGTATAATTTGGCTGTTTGAATATTTAAAATTAAAACAAACACATCATAATAATCTATCTTAAAGATGTTTCCCATTTGAACCGAAGACTCTTTTAAGTTTTTCAAAATTGAGCATGTATGAGGGAGCAAACCCCAAAATAAAGACGTATAGTGTGACGCAAGAAAGTAAACATTATCAGATGGAAAAGGCGATTCCCACAAGACTCAGGTGATGATAGGCTTGGGCATACAGAAGTATATCTCTTTGGAATATTTTGCAAAACCGTACATTAAACTAAAATTAAGAAGACGCATAAACTTCATCATTAATTCTTAATCTACCATGCCAAACACCTCTGTTATATGTTTCGCTCCTTTTGGGCTAAAGGTGTTGGCGGGAATGGTTCTCTGAGGAATACAAGAAGAAAATATGAAAAAGAAAGTGGTGCAAGATGTCTTTAAGGTGTGGGCAACACTTTCTTTTAGGTTTAATTCGGCCCCACCTATTTTTATTTTATAAGATACAAGTTAAGATGTCTCGTGAATTTCCTTCAAGATACAATGAAGAATCCTTAATATGGATTACACTTCTAAATTCAAACAAAGACAACAATAGCTTTTACAAAGTGATAATTTGACTTTATCTCTGTGTGCACTCAAAGACAAAGGCAATGAGTTTGATCTTAGTGTTTGTGTTGTATATCTCCCAAATGAAGTGCAGGTGAAGGTTTATATAGACCATGGAATGATGTCTTGAAGAGATATCTTTTGGAATAAAACTTTATTAAATAAAAAGTCACAACCATATATTGGTTCATAAACTAACATAATTTAAATAAATACAATAAATTTGGTATGTAGGTTCATTTAATATTTTAACTTCGTATATGACCCTCTGTTAAATACAATGTATTTAATACGTAGAGTCATTTAATATTTTACCTTCCTACATAACCCTTCATATAAATATATTAATTTATATGAAAACACAACTCTTGAAATAAATTTATTAATGTATATGAAGACATAACCCCTTATATAAATTTATTAATTTAATAAATTTATATAAAGACATGTTAATAAATTTATATAAAGATATAACTTTTCAAAAACACATCTTTTCATTTTAAGAATATTCCAACAAAAGGCATGCTCATAGATTCATAGCATATACTAGCCATTATCAAATCTGACCAGACCTTGCCAAAAATATCAACGTTAAGTTCGAGCTTGTGTGGTAGGTTAATGTAGTTCTTACATTTTTATGCATTATGCGAATCTACCAAGCATATACTTCAAATCTTTTTCATCCTTAATATTTAACGTTCTACCGACCAAACCTCACTCATTTCCTTGTCCTATGTATGCATGTTGACGTCACATGCATGATGTTCTATTGGGCAAGCATATGCACATTTTCGACGTTCGAACCAGTGACTCCTTTCTGCTTTCAAAAACCAGAACTTCCAGAAAAGTTCAAACCACGCCAGTAACGGTGAATGAAAATGAATATTAGATCATTCCCTTCGTCCTCTTCAATTTTCGTTCTTTCTTTATCTGAACGCTGAACTTTTCATTGAGTTTTTCCTTCTTCAGTAATTTCTTGTGAACTTTGGCTTTGTTCTGTTCTTTTTATAGGGCTTGTCTACCCATCCGGATCTCTCAATCTTCCTAAGTAACTTCGGAAAAGTTTCTTACCTTTAGTCTGTATCTTCAATGGGGACTTCTACAATGGCTTCTCCTCTCTGTACATGGCTTGTTGCAGCCTGCATATCTGCAACTTATGACAAACACTACTCCAGAAAAATTTCTGTGTTTGGTTCTCCGAAGAGGCCTAGGAAGTTCATGTCCCACTATATCAATGCCGGTGCTGCTGACTGTAAAAGTAGAACGCTTTCGTCTTTCTATTGTCCTGGTGTTCAAAATCTGATTTCTTGCGTTGCATTTGAGCCATGTAAGGATTACAATAATTTTAAAGGGTCATTGTCTTCTTATTTATTTTCTTTTGTGGACACTGGGTTATCCTCCTTTTTTGCCTCAAAAGTAGCCTCCAATGGAATGAATATGTTCACCAGGCTAACTTCCCATTCAGGTAATTCAACTCTTACCATGAATATGTTCACCAGGCTAATGGAGTTGATTTCTAGTGATTGTGTGGACAAAGAAGAGAAACAGGGCTAACTGAATCCCAATTTTCTTGGAGTCAGACACACACACACACACACCCCTTTTCTTAATCACTTCGTTCTGTTTTATTTTTTTGATATTATGACTTTCACCAGATTGTTAAATAGGTCTTGTGTGATCAACAAGTTAGATCCCTTCCATAATGAAGGGGATACAGTTAATAGAGAGAAGATAAGTTGGTAATACGCTTCTCCTGCCCAGAAGACAAATGTTAAACGAATGGGCCCGGGAGGGGATTGGCTGAGGTGTGTGTAAGTTAATCTGAACACTACTTAACGTCGATGTACGAAAATGAAAAACATAAGGCCTCAACATGAATGATCTTATATTTGCCTTAGGACAAGATCTAACGATTTTGCTAAAGCTGCACATGCCGTAATATGGAGTCGGAGGTTAATGCACATTCTTATTTCTATGTGATATAAATGCCATAATTAGAGGCTTTATTTTTCATATTCCAGGAAAAACTGAGGGTATGGCTTTGAATCCCGCTGAAGAAGTCAGAAGGAGGAAGAAACCATCCATAGAGCGACGGGTTGTGGTTACAGGATTGGGAGTAGTGACCCCAGTTGGTCATGATCCAGACATGTTCTATAACAATCTCCTTGAAGGAGTCAGTGGAATAAGCGAGATAGAGGGTTTTAATTGCTCTGAGTTTCCAACGGTATATACACCTGCTTTATTGCCTGGGATGGCTTCATTGAACTAACTGATAATATTTAGCCTGAGGATGAACTTCAGCATTCTTTGAATTCAGAAAATTGCTGCACAAATCAAATCCTTCTCAGCAGACGGATGGGTCTTACCCAAGTTCTCCAAGAGAGCAGATAACTTCGTGCTATACTTGCTCACTGCTGGTAAGAAAGCATTGTTAGATGGAGGAATCACAGAAGATGTTGCTGAGGAGTTGGACAAAAGCAGATGTGGAGTTATAATAGGCTCTTCTTTAGGAGGCATGCAGGTGATCCAAACCATTGCCCAAAGTTTCTACCATTTTGGCCAATTAGGTTTAGTTCAATTGGCAGGATTTATTCATAAAGCATTACTTTCTTTTGCCTGTATTTAATATGTGTCAGACGTACAAAATAGACACTGCATGAGACTTTGAATAAGTAATAGGTGATCAAAATTTTGTTGTATTGTCTATGCCTATGTAATTGTCCATGCTTCCTAAATAAATCTCTTTCAATTATAAGTTCTTCCATTGCTGAGTTTCTGTTATATATTTGTGACAGGTGTTTAGTGACGCCATAGAAGCATTGAGGGTTTCGCACAGGAAGATGAATCCTTTTTGCGTACCGTTTGCAACAACGAACATGGGTTCTGCCCTACTAGCAATGGATTTGGTATGCTCTTGCAGAAAGCTTGATTAGGATAGATTTGTGGCACATATATTATACCTAGCGATCTAGATTTATTAGTATTTTTCAAATTCCCAATTGCAGGGATGGATGGGCCCCAACTACTCCATCTCAACAGCTTGTGCCACAAGTAACTTTTGCATGCTGAGTGCAGCAAACCATATAGTTAGAGGTGAAACTGTGAGTGCTTCCTTCATTACCATGCAAAATATATCCACTCAATTCAAGCTTTTGGAGTTAAAAAAAGTTGAATTCTCTTGCAAATCCTGTGGCATTGCAGGACATGATGCTCTGCGGTGGGTCTGATGCAGCAATAAACCCAATCGGTAGTTGTTGAGCTTTTTGATTGTAGATGCACGTTAATTTGGAGAAACTGTTAGTTAGATTCAGTTTATAATTGATTAGTAGACCAAATTACAATCACAGACATACAAGTATGTAAGAACAAGCCTACTTGAAGCATTAGCCTTGAACATACGCTATATCTGACTTTCAACAACTTGTAATTTATAAATGGAACTACAGGCTTGGCAGGTTTTGTGGCATGCGGAGCTCTTTCAAAGAGGAATGAAGAGCCAAAGAAGGCTTCACGTCCGTGGGACAGTGTAATGCATCCACATTTTCTTTATCAAATATTTGTAATTCCTTTGTTATTTTGGGATCTAGACATGCAAGTGTATGGGAGGTGAATCCCATTAAAAAATGAACTGGATATGCTTGTGTGTCTTTTTAACGTATTTAGGTCACCAAATTTTGTCAAGTTTTCTGTTAAAGTTTAACATTATGCCATTTCAGACTTGTTTCTTACCCCAAGTATTAACTAAAGATGCAGTTCTTGATGAGCAGGATCGCGATGGATTTGTTTTGGGAGAAGGAGCTGGGGTGTTGCTCTTGGAGGAATTAGAGCATGCTAAGGTATGTTGCAGAAACTTGAAAATTTTTACAAAACCCAAAACCCTGGAAATGAAAGAATTAAGAATTTGTTAACTTCTCTTTAATTCCCAGAGAAGAGGTGCAACAGTATATGCAGAATTTCTGGGAGGAAGCTTCACATGTGATGCATATCATTTGACTGAGCCTCATACTGATGGTAAGTACAACATCATCCAACAAGTTTGTCCCTTTTCATTAATATCTTCATTCATCTGCCTGCTGGTATTATATGCGCCATCTATTAAGTGCCGTTGATTTCAGTTTTAGTTGGTAATTATTTGTCAGTAAGCATCCACAAATTATGATGTACTCTGCTTTGGAACTAGAACAACTTGTTTAACACCTATATCTTTCTTATTCACCCAAAAAAGAAGAATTAAAAGTCTCTTAAAATGAGACAATTTTAGGTGAATCCCAATATTTTTCCCCCTTGAGAAAATAATATACCAACAAGCCAATTATAAATTATGTATAGACATATAATCTCTTGAGAACTCGATTCTACTAAAAAGCAGGTCATGTTTGTCACACATACATATATAGTCATGAGGTCCACAGGTCATGTTTGTCACACATACATATATAGTCATGAGGTCCATGTAATAAAATCAAAATTAGAAAACAATACTGAGTACCGCTAAATGTGCCTGCAATTTGGTACAGGTATTGTTCTTTGTATGGAAAAGGCGTTGGCTCAATCAGAGGTTGCCAGAAGGGATATAAATTACATAAATGCACATGCTGCATCCACACCATCTGGCGATTTAAAAGAATATGAAGCAGTAAGTCAATGTTTTGGAACGAACCCAGAGGTAAAATTAAAGGTGAACTTGCAGTCAGACTATCAAAAATCGTGTCTGTTCGTTCATATCACAAAGTTTAAGCTTTCATGATCTGCAGTTAAGGATGAACTCCACAAAATCCATGGTCGGCCATTTACTAGGAGCCTCTGGAGCTGTGGAAGCTGTTGCAACAGTTAAGGTATACATTGGTGACATCACTCTTCTAGTGTTTGACTTTTTGCATTCTCTGTGTAACTAAAGGCTAATATTGCGTGAAGAAAAACTTAGTTGTCGTTTTTAAGATATTTACTATCAGCTGACACATGAATGTATTTTTAATAGTTCAGCAATGCATGATTGATTGTTGAAAAAGAAGTTTCCCGATGCCTTTCATTTGATGCATAGTATTTGATAGCATTTGTCTAAACGAACTATGAAGATTTTGGAGACAGAAACAACATTCGATCATGACTAGGGTAAATAAAGCACAAACCGGGTTTAGTCACAAGTTAGCTATTCCCTAGAATCTTCCTAAAATCATGGAGATAAATGAAATAATAGCAACCCTAGCATATAGAAAACGGCGCCTCCGCCACTATGGAGTAAAACAGCACACCCCGACACAACCTTATATACAAGTCTTTCCATACCATATCATGTCTTTTTGCGTTTGATGACGATAGCAACTGTGTTATGGAAAACATTTGCCGAGAACTCAGGCAAAAAAAATTTCTGATCTTATGTGTAGTTCAAGAAGTGCTTTTTTCTGACATTACAGGCAATAAAGACAGGATGGATCCATCCAAACCTCAACCTTGTGAACCCAGACAAAAATGTGGTATGTTTTCCCCAAACCACTGCTACATAGTAATAAATCATCGTTATTGGTATGCAACAGAATACATGCTTCTTATGTCTCTCTATAAGTTTATAATGGGCAACTACATATAAAGGTGTTTGGCATCTGACATTCTCTTGGTTTTAGATCTCATTGTGCAGTGTGTCCAGTTATAAGATAACAGTACTAAAGATTTTCATCTTCAATCCCATCTTTACGGATGTGAAATCCTCATGATTTAGTATCATCTTATCCGTCCTGTTATCTTGGACTCTATCAAACTTGTTGAATAGCAGTATCATGCTTCATACTTCAATGGTTATAGGGCTTTCTTTAATCCATGAAAGCTTTTTGATAAGTTGTCTTGAAGCAGGACACAAGTTTCATTGCTGGTCCAGTGAAGGAACGTTTGAACATCAAGGTGGCTCTCTCAAACTCGTTTGGTTTTGGAGGACACGGCTCATCCATCCTGTTTGCACCTATCAATTACGGGTGAAATAAATCAAGGGAACACAAGGTCAATAAATTGTGTTTAGTTTTGGAAGTATGGCCTTTTGAAGCAAAATTTTCCATCTGATTGCATAAAAGACTGGACAGTGGACATATTATCGTGCACTGTTTTAATCTTTTCTTTTATTATTATTTGGTTTGAGGATTTCTCATCCTTAAACGAGATTTAGATTGTTTCATTTTCAACAAAATTACTTCTTGTATATATACATAAATATATATATGTATGTATTTGAGAGAATGATGATAAAAGACTCCGTAAAGAAATTGATAATTTAATATAAAACAAGAACCTATTTGTAATTAAAACATTGGAATGTTATATCAGCAAGGAATGGCTAATTATTTTTCTCTCTTAAAAGTGCATCCTACCTTATGATCCTGTGTTTCGAGAAGCGAACTCTCGCATAAACTGACTGCACAACAACACAAGGATGAAAATATGTTATTTTTTCCATATTTCATCGCTTGGATGTAGAATAATTTCAAAGATTGACATGAAAAGAGCATATTGCTTCAATCTAGACTCTTCTGCTATGTTTGGTACGTGGTCTCAATTTTGATGGATTAGGAATGGAATTAGATGTGAAAATAAGCTTCAAATTTATATTTGGTATAGAGTAATATTTAATGACTGCGTTAATTTACTTTTAAATTGTAAAAAAAACTATAACAACTTCATTATCCAAAAAGCACTCGTTACTTGGAGAGAAGAGAGGGTATTTTGGTCTGAAAAATTCTAACCTTGAGATTAAATTTCCAATACCACCTTCTCTCATTCTATTCTCTAATTCCACTTACACAAATTTACCCCGTTTCAAATAACAAACAATTCTTCATACTGAACATTTTTAATTGATTCAAATCTCAATCCCAATCTCACACTTGCCAAAGGGGGCCTTTGTTCCCCGCCTTCTATGATCTTTACTCCATACCCGCAGTCTCTCGTGCAGTGTCCTTTTTTTTTTAAAAAAAAAAGGGGCTTCGAAGAGAAGAGTTGAGTCACAAATACATAATGGTAAGATCATATAAGAAGGTAGTTATTGGTGTAAGCTGCATTCCCTGTATATCCAATTCAGCTGAAACTCACATGGAAACCAAAAAACATATCTAATGGGATATATATTACTCATTAACACAGTGCCCCTGAAAACAATTGGGAAGCCTAAGCACAACCAAAGAAATGCGTATATGCGTCCCAAAGGACACCAAGTTTTCTCATATCTTGGCTCCTTAAGCTAAAAGTAAAAATGTCTCTTCTCCAGAAAGACTGATTCAGCTACGCTCATCAGATGTAAAAGAGGATAATTGTTTCTAAACCACAATCCTGTGCCAGTCTGGACAGTCATGACGACAGCAAGTCACAGCAGCACGAGCCAGGATAAAAGTATCGTACAATATGATCTCTGCTCAATCACCAGAGCTTAGATTTTACCCAGAATAGCAGGAAGACGACCCCAAGCACAATAGCAACAGGTGCCCACTTACGAATCAGAGCCTGCACTCAAGATACCATTACAGTTATACATTTGCATAATTTTGCATAAATACGATCAGGACATCAACCAGAAGCTTGAAAAGAACTAATCACTTCTGAACAAAAGGCAGGGTTAGATCAGTATGAAGTGAAAAAAGAGAGAGGTGGTCAACAAAGATAAGAACTGCTAGTGGAAACGATAATTTATCATGAAATGGTGACTACATTTGCACTAATATATGGAAAGACACACGCCCATCTACCATGTCATGTCTTATTCTGTAAGTTCTCAAATTTAGTGTGTCCATATCTCACTCTTGTGTGTCCTGCTTAAAGGTCTAATGTACTATTGTTTCAGATAAGTCACAATCAATTAACATTAATCAGAAGGGACACATGAATAAGGAAGATTGTATTGCCAAAATAAGCTAGATATCATGTTCATTGCGTGCTAAACACTAAAAGACTAACCTGGCGATTTAAATCTCTTGCCTTATCAGCATACATGCGAGATTCTGATGATAAGCGGCTGGACATTTGGCTGACCTCTGCACATTAGCGTTTAAATCAATTGTAAAAGCATATCTGTGGCACAAGAAATCAGCAGAAAAAGTATGCTAAAACTAAGACTACTCTTAGAATAGATAAAACATCTTACGGTCCAACTGTTCACCAACACCCAGAACTTCTTGCACATTTCGAGTCATTATCTGATGGACTTCATAGAGTTCATCATTCAACTTTGCAATGTTGCGCTGGGTATGAGTGTCCTGGTACAATTTCTTTGTTTTCTGCATAAATGTGTCTTTTAAAGAAATTAAAAAGGAAAAAAAAAAGGAAAATTAAGCACCAGCAGGAAATGAGAATAATCCTATAAATAAAATATGACAGATAATGCAAATGTAGAGAGCAAGCAGGTAATGTGATACCTACCAAACTTAATAAAGGCATATGGTCTGGCAGCAGTCTCAATTTGAGAACCATTAGCACGCTCAAACTCGTTCCTGAGATCTTCAAGATATTGAAAGGCTAGTTTCTTAGGGTAAGCACGGTCACACATTGTCAAGTAACAGACACGTCCTTCAATAATATAACTGTTGGATTGTCAAGGCAATCATCATTCTTTGAAATCAAGTAAACACAAAGAAAATGTAACACACACACAATCTATATAAACACATGCATATATTAATTTTTCAAACAGTTGCAGACAAGAAATTACTGTGAAAACTTGCAAAAGTAGCAAAGTTGTGAGGCATTAAGATAGTACCACATTTTGCACATGCATATCAATATATCAATATAAAAACTCTAACAAACTACACTATCCACAAGCTATGAACAGTGCAACTCATTTCTCATACTCTATGCAATGCACAGGAACCGCATCTAGTTATATAGAAAATAACCATCTTAATTATGATTCGACAAGAAATGAGAGAGGGTATTGCCTACATTAAGTGGTTTTACCCATTAGGTATTGTTCCAAAAAAAACAGAGGCAATGAGAGACAACAACCTACCAAAACAAGAAGTCAAAAAAGCAGCGTCCAGTAATGCTGAGAACCAATAAATTTATGGCCACAAAGAACAAAAGAAAGACAACGAGCAAGCATATATTGTGCATGGACAGCTTATATAGTGTATGGATGGGAGGCCCAGCATCTTCGACATGATCATAAAACTACGATAGCAATTTAAAGAAATACCACTACAGAGTCCAGACATTTCTATAATTCCCAAGAATTCACTGTTTATTGTTAATCTCTGGGAATACCATCACTAAAACAATATCGACATAATGTATTAGATGTATTTTATGATACAACGGTGGAACATGTAAAATAACCAAACAATTACCATACTAGCACAACTCCCTAACACAGACATGAAACATTAAGGCACAAGGATACTGGAAAACATAAGGGCCAGTTTCAATTGACATTCTTGATGCCTCGTGTTGTCCTCTTGAGAGGTTCTTAAACAAAGCCTTAACTTGCTGTTTGTAAAACTCAGCATCTCTAATATCACGACCATCATCAAGCCCCTCAGCTAGCGGAAGACCATCAGTAACACGAGCAATCATAGTCAATTTAACCATCTTTTCAATTTCACCACGTTCCTCTTTTCGCTCAGAACTCTCCAACTATAGTAAAATACACTGCAACAAAAGTTCATAATCAATAACAGATCATGTTATACCCAGGAATGAGAAACATTAAAAGCATAAAATGAACGAATATACATATCTCTTGCTTCTCTTTTTTAATAAATATACAGAAACTTAATTAAGGGGTACTGCCTCTGACTTCAGCACTAGCACCAAAGGTAGCCTAAGCATAGCAAATGGTGTGAGCAATTATTCCACTCACTATACTACATTTCTAATCTAATGGACACATTTCTGGGTACGTAGCACAGATTTCAACAACTGAGCCACACTGACCAAGGGTTGTCAATTGTGTAACTTATCATAAATCTCAATTAATTAGATCAATCACTAAGGACGATCGAACACGCCCAGAAACAGGAATCCTGATTCAATTATTTTGCAGGATAGGAAATTCAAATAACAGAAATCGTTATCCATTCCTTTCCCTGATATATAATAACAAACTGCAAAAATTTTATATCGGCCTAAGCATGCTCCACTCCACACGCCAAACTCCTTCAGCAAAATCGTACATGAAAGATGACATAACATACACAGTGTCCTTAGAAGTCAAGGACGCACATTTTGCTCCAAATAAACCATGTATTCTCCAAAATTCAGCCTGATGCAACAATCCGAAATTAATACAAGCAATAATTCATATACCATATAATTACCATTGCCTAGGACCTGATTATAACATTTCCTCATTTTTTATGTGGAGTTGACATTGCAATTAGGTTTTACTTTCGCGATGCAACATAAACGGGGTTCTGAAACCAAGTGCATTATTACGTTCTTTGGATCTTATACGTTGGAATAATCAATTTAAGCGATACGGCGTGAAGAAACATCAAGTTGTTCAGATGATAGATGGGCGCACGTATCCAAAATTTTTTCACTTTCAGTCTTCCATTCTAGAAAAAAAAAATAAAATAAAAATTAAAAAGACCAATATTTTCATGTTCTAGCATTTTCTCCAACGACTTGGCAGTGAATACCGGGGAATTGGAGAGAAAAGAAAGCAAAGAAGGAGATGCCATCATCAAAGGATCTAAATTGAGAGAAGGGACGAAGTAGACAGAGTAAAACAAAGAAAGGGTGACATTGAAAGAGGAAGCAACGACTAACCTGGCAAAATGAAAGCGAGTTGGGGGAAATGGTGGCCAAGCTGCTCTGCCGTCGGTCGGTGTCCCCGAAGTGATACAGCCGGCTGCCGATCTATGAACTGGGGAAGGAGAGACCAGACTCAGATGGACCCGAGAGAAGACGAGATCTTCGGCAGTGAAAACCAGCTAACAGCATAACACCGCGTTTGCAGGGAATTTTAATTATTTGGCACAAAAAAAAAATGATGAAGTGACCTTTAATATTAAACTTTTCTCATCTCTCTCTTATATTAAATAGAAGTGAAAATAAAAAAATCATATTAATATTTTAATAAACATATTATATTTTGAATCATAATGTTCCCTGACCAATGTATTATATTATGGCTAGGATGGAGTATCAATATAATCATTATCACTATATCAAAAGATCAATGTCTAGTTTTGAAGAAAATTATTGTTGGCAAAAAAAAAAAAAAGTTTTGAAGAAAAATATTAGTTATAAATTGCGAACCTATGAAATGTTTTAAAATTTCTTATCTATTATCTATTGTTTTAAAAAACTAAGTTTGTAGGGAAAAAAGACTCTGTTTTTTTATCTAAAAAATTACTCCTCTGATTCTAAATATAAGGGTTTTATATTAGAATCGGAAGAGTACAATATACTATCTCTAATCCTTAATATAATATTTAATTGACTAATTTAAAAAGATTAAAAAAATTAGTTATTTTGTTTTAATAAATATGATTTATTTTTTTTTAGAATATCCTTACTAATTATGTATATTAATTAGAATTATTATTTGATAGAATATTTAATCTGTGTAACTACTATAATAACTATTTTAAAAATATATATATAAATATAAAAATTAAAATAGATTAAAGTTTTATATTTAAAATCAAATTAAAAATTAAATAAATTTTTATATCAAGGAGCGGGATATTAATTATAAACCTTCAGCCTTCCTGTTCCGCGACAAGTAGGCCCATCAACTTCCTTTACTATGGCTCTATTTATACTGCTATTTAGCGTCGGCTTCTCCTGGTTTTCTTGCTTTTTGCTTTTCCCTGCCTCCTTTGATCCGAGAAGACCTTGTTTTTGCAGCTACCACGTACTTTAGGGCAATGAATCGTGGCCGAGGTCGAACCCCATACGGTCGAGGTCGCAATTCTCCAACAACGCGATGGGCCCCATGTTCCTATGATCAATCCAAGCATCCTCTCGACCCAGTAAGTACTACGTAACCCCTTTCTTTAAGTTTTGTCCTTTTCCTTTTTCTTTTCTAATGGTACCCTTCCTGTTTTGTTCTTCTTTTGGTGGTTCCATGATGTTGAAGATATGCAAATGGAGTTTGGTTTTTCTTAATGATTTTCTCAGCGATACTATTCCATTGTTACAAGTGAGCTAATCAAACAGAACCATGTGTATGTCAGCGAAATCAGTTAAAAAATCATTTGTTCTAGTTATTGTTAGACATTAAGCATCTAAATTATGACTAGAATAAAGTTTCTCTAATGAAACTGATTTCTTACTCTATTTTGACCCTAGGATATGCTTGTTAAGAGTGACAATAAGCGATGCATGAACTTACATTATTGTCCAACTCTTTTCTTAATTTAGAATCCCCCGTTTTATGCCTTCCAAATTTCCCTGTTTTAAGCAAGCCCCAAAATTGAACAGAAAAGTGAATTTCTGTTGTGAATATCAAATTTTGGCCTTTCTACATAGGTCGCTGGAGATGGATCATCTGGCAGTAAATCATGGCCTGCAAAAGATGGAATGAAAAGTTATCAGCAAACCTCAGGTAGTTCTTGCAGGGTGCTGGTTTCTCAAACTTCATATTACTATAAGCAGTCCTCCTCCTCCTCATGTGAAGGGGATGATGAATCGGTTAAAGTGACTACTTGTCAACTAAAGCAAAGCGTTCCTGACACTTCAAGTGCTTGTTCAGAAGACCGGACCCTTGGTCGATTGCAAATCAGTTACCAAGTCTATTCCTTTATCATCTGTTGATTCTGGCTCTTCAATTTCTAGTTTAGGATCAATCAACATTGGGGAATCTCTGCCTGATGCCTCCAAGTTAAAAATAACTGATGTGCACAGTGAGACTGGGCTACCTTTGAGGCAGGGTGATCCTGGTGAATACTTGCTGAGCAAGAATCCCACTCTTGGCCATAAAACAGAGGAAGCAGAGAAGCCAGAATTGGTTCGTCCATTTGACATTTGCCGTCCAAAAAATTCTCAGTCGGTTGTTTTGAAACCTTCTTTACTTGAACGTAATAGAGAAAAGCGGAACGAAACCAAACGCAATATGGGTAAGACAAGTAGGACTGTTTTAAGGCCTGGGATGATCCTCTTGAAGGGTTACATTTCATTAAGTGATCAGGTTCCACAATTTTTCTCTCTTCTATCTGTTTGTCATATGTATTTTTGTGTATTATATTTAATGAATTTTTTTTTAACCTCCAAGTTAAAAATAACTGATGTGCACAGTGAGACTGGGCTACCTTTGAGGCAGGGTGATCCTGGTGAATACTTGCTGAGCAAGAATCCCACTCTTGGCCATAACAGAGGAAGCAGAGAAGCCAGAATTGGTTCGTCCATTTGACATTTGCCGTCCAAAAAATTCTCAGAAAAGCGGAACGAAACCAAACGCAATATGGGTAAGACAAGTAGGACTGTTTTAAGGCCTGGGATGATCCTCTTGAAGGGTTACATTTCATTAAGTGATCAGGTTCCACAATTTTTCTCTCTTCTATCTGTTTGTCATATGTATTTTTGTGTATTATATTTAATGAATTTTTTTTTAATACCCTTAATACGCACACTTAGGTCAAAATAGTTGAAAGATGCCGGCAGTTAGGGCTCGGTCCTGGGGGATTCTACCAGCCTGGTTACCGTGAAGGGACAAAATTGCATTTGAGGATGATGTGCCTGGGTAAAAATTGGGATCCTCAGACAAGTCAGTATGGAGACCACAGGCCATTTGATAGAGCAAAGCCACCTAATATTCCTGTTGAATTCCTTGAAATTACTGAGAAAGCAATTAGGGATTCCCATGTCCTCATAGGGCAAGATTCTAAAAGAGTAAATCCAGAGAAGATACTTCCATGGATGTCACCTGACATATGTCTTGTAAATTTTTACACACAAAGTGGGCATTTGGGTCTTCATCAGGTATGTACTAAAGCATTACAAACATTTTCAAGTCTCTAAAGTGAGGTCAATGATCTTGTAGCCCCATGGATCGAATGTTCCCCTACAAGTGGGAGGTTGCAGGTTTGATTATGCTTGTAACCTGAAGCCATCAGTCTATGTCCCTCCAATTCGGCCAAAAAAAAAAAAAAGTCTATGAGGTCAGAGTGGCACGCCAAAAAGATGAAAAGAAAACAGAACAAAAGAAGTTTTGGACCTGCAATGAAGTTATAATCTATAAGCGTCAACTGGCATGTTTTAGCATCCTCTAACGAAATTCTGCTTTTATTCAATGTTACCACGCACCAATATATGTTCTATTTTTTAGTAACTTGTTGAGAGTATTACTTATTATATTCAGGACAAGGATGAAAGTGAAGAAAGTCTTCGTCGAGGCTTGCCGGTGGTTTCCTTCTCCATTGGAGACTCAGCAGACTTTCTATTTGGTGACGAGAGAGATGCTGACAAGGCACAAAAGGTTGTGCTAGAATCTGGAGATGTCTTAATCTTTGGTGGGAAGTCCAGAAATATATTTCATGGCATAACTGTTATTCATCCAAACACTGCCCCCAGGCTTTTGCGTGAAGATGCAAATCTACAACCCGGCAGACTGAATCTTACTCTAAGACAGTATTAAAAGATACTTATAATGATGATCAGAGTATTCAAGCTATCTTGGAAAGTATGTTGTAAATTTAAACCATTTTGGTGTTTCATATCTTAAACAATCCGAGTCCGTTGGTCACTGAATGCATGTAATATTTCTGGATAGACAGCATTGTCTTTTTTTCATAGATTGAAAATTAGATTAACACTTAGGTTTGCAAATTTTAATGGACAAAGTGATAGTATTTCGTTTAAGTTCCTGCGAGATTTTGTGTTTTGCATTACTTAAGATAGGAAGAAAGTGTCATTGGAAATGACGATGCTACGCGGCTTTTGTATTTCAGACGGATGCCTTTTGAAGATTGTAACTCAAGTATAGAACTATTTTTATTTACTTTTTATTATCCTCTAATCCTCTTCCATATGGCTTTGGTGGATGGCCTGCCATACTGTACAATGGGTAACTTTTTTTGGTACAATTTTTTATAGTTAACTTTTGAACATACAAGGAACTATCAGACTATCTGTAATTATATTACTTAAGATAGGAGATTTTTTCATGTTGACAGTCAAGTACAAGTAACTGTTAAGATTGAATTTGGATGATTAAGATTCATTTAATTATTTTTTGTTCAATTATTATTTCAGAAGGTACTAATTAGAGATTTTCCTTAATGTAGTTTGTCTTTTTTTAAGAAAATAACAATACTATTTTATTTTAAAAAAAAGGTAATTTCATTTTTGAAAAAAAAACTGACCAAGGGTCATATATATGATGTATTGGAAAAAGTAGAAAGTATTATTAATATCAACTGCAGAAAAGCAAAAAAAAAAAAAAAAAAGTGATAAAGGATACAAGATTAAATGCTGGTTTGAATTAGCCCAAAAAGACAAGTTATATAATGGGTAAATGTGTAAGATGAATTTTGTTCTATAATATAAAAGTGATTATTTTAATAGCCCACTTAAACAAATCACGTCTGCCTGTTTTTGAAAATTCAAGTCTATGTGAAGGAAAGTCCTTAGAAGCTGTTTCTAAGGCTTCCATGAGGGGCCAAGATCTCTAGATTTTTTTTCCCTTTCATTTCATTTTACAGTGTTTGGACTTTCTATGGTAAAAATGATGCAGAATATTTTCCTTTTCCTTTTAAACTTACGAATAATAATCATAATACTGTTGTTTGACATGTGGGAATCTTTACTTTTGCCTTCGGCCCAACTCCCTCTCCGTGGATGCTCATTTGGCAGCCAAACTTCAACAGCATTTACACCAAACTGTAGTTGGTTCAGCTTGCGGTTTCATAAACGCTTACTTTATAAGATAAGTACAAAATCTACCACCACCCTCACTATTAACATGTAATCCTGTATATATAACCCAACATAATCATGTTTAAGATACTCGACAATGTGGCACTCTTTATCAAATTTCCCGCTCCACAGAAAACAGAAACAGGGGGAGGCTAAACCATGCTGGAGAAGCAGGGCACATGCTTGAACTGTGTTAACGATTTCAGCATGTGCCCTGGCTCTCCAGCATGAATCCTCTCTCTTGCACATTTTCAACGTTGGAAGTAGAGAATTCCCAAGTCTTTCAGTGCAAGGTACGTACGTAGATTATAATCACTTTGGTCTGTTTTGCTTGACTGACTAAACTTGCATTGTATGAGGATTTCAGTCTGCAAAAAATTGCATATCTCGACTTTGTACAGCAAGAAGTTTCTTCATTTTCTTTTCCTTTTTTTTTTGGGGGGGGGGGGTATAGAAGATACATTTTTTTATTGGAGAAGTCTAGATCTTTTTTCCCAGTTCTATTTCTAAATGGCTCCTTATCCCTCATGTTCCCTAAAAAGGGTGATTGATTGATCTCATGTATAAAATTGACTTTTATTTAAATGGTGATACAAGGGCCACGAAGCGTAAATTAGAAGGTCTCCTGTTTTAATTACATAAATATCACCATACATCACAAGCAAAGCAAGCCAATCTTACGTTACCAATGATTGGCTCGACCACAACAAATAATTTTTAGGTTAAAAAATACCAACAGAGGAATAATAATTAATAAATACTTTAAGACCAGTTTGTTGTCCTCGGTTTTTTAAGCACATTTCTCCAAAGCTGATGCAGCAGAACCAACTTGAACCAGCAAGCTGGAGCAAACTTTCTGCTTCAATCTCTCGACAGTCTCAACCATCTCTTCACTCTCAATGTCTAGAGTGCTACTCTGCTTATCCAACCACTCCTTTGCATTCTTAAGGTTTGACAACGTGAGAGCAATATCCTTATTGACTCTGTCCTTTTTCCCTTGGGTTCCCGAGGAAGAAAACCCTGAATCCAATGTCTTTTCTAAGTACCTCAGAAACCATGATCTTGTCTCTTTTATGAGGATTTGTCTCAGCTCATTTGCCTCTTTTAGACCATCACCTTTGGCCCATTCTAGTTTCCCAGACACTGATAGTTCAATTTGAGGTTTCGAGGACTTCAAGGTGGTATTTTTACCTGGGACCAAGCTTGTCTTTCTGCCAGATTTATCTGTTTTTTCATGAGATGATAAATTGCTTGACTGAAGTGATTTGTCTTTCAATGAGATTTTGGCGTTTCTTTGGTCCATCAGCTTTACAAATGCCATCATAAACCAAGAAAATAGCAAAAAGAATCATGAACCCACTTTGTTTCCCCTCTCTAATAGCTGATATTGAGTTAGCTCCTCCCTGAGTTCCATGGATAGCTAAATCAGCCCTCTTATTGTCCATTCTACTGAATCCAAGCACACCTTAACTAAATAATTTTCTCGATTTAGATCAAAATCCTAAATTACCTTAGGCACCTGACAAGGATTGATGCAGCAGATGCTTCTCTTTGAGCTTCAACTGCAACCATTGATGCTAAATGTTTCCTTCTAAGCATTCCCTTGTAAAATTTACAAGAAGGTTGATACAGAAAAAGAAATGAGTTCATGCAAATGCTAGGAAAAATTCATGTATATGTTGTTGTCGCATTAATTCAGCATTATTAAGCAAACAAGACGAAGATAAGTTAAAATTTGATTCAATTTGATACTGCGTAGACTAAAAGCAAGTTTCGGATTGTGGATAATGGAGAAGATAAGCGAAGAAAAGGAAATGTTTGATTTGCCTTTCAATCAAAAGAAAAAAAATCATTTCCTTTCTTCTCTTCCATTCTCCATAATCCAAACATATCATAAAGGATCAGGTTGCAATCCACCTTGCTAGGCTTCAAGAGGTAGCGAGACAAAGAGGACCATGGAATTGCTTCTGAGGTATGGATTTTATCTTTACTGCTGGAGAAGAAGTTCAAGTCCGAATTTTCCTTTTTGGTAGAACTTCTTTTTGAAGAATTGCACTTAGAAGGCACTAGAGTAGTCTCCTGGATGTTACATTGAGCAGACTCTTGCTTTGTTGAAAGTAGTTCAGGTCGATCACACGTTGGAATTATTGCAGGCACCTGCGATGTTAAATCATTGTCACTTTGTAGTCTTTTAATAAGCTTAGAGTAACCTGAGCATGAGTTTGGTTACTTCCTTCAAATTCTACAGCAAAGAGGTATCATTGCATTCTATTATTGAAATTATTAACTACATCCTCCGATCCATTTCATAAAATACAAATAACCAAATCATTAATACCAAGGAATGTGATTAAAATTGTTAAGCTTCTTAATTATGCTGCAATTTAAATTCCTGCTAAAAATGTCCATATTAGTTTCACACAGTGACTTGTTAATGACGCTAGCTTAATAATTCCATATAATTAATGGGGGAATGCAATAAAATACACAGAAAATAGTCCAATGTTTCTCATATTTAGGACCAAAAAAACCACTCTCAAAATTCTCTTAAAAAAGGATCGGAGGCAGTAGTTCTTAATTTCTTGACAGAGAGACCACCTAGCCTAAATCCAAGGGATTGAGCTATGTCTTTCACAGATTAGGAACAATGTTTGGAGGGAAAAGATATGAAATGACCAGTAAATTCTTTCTGCAGTTTATGTTGACAAAATTTGTGTTCGTTGTAGCATATTCATATGCAATAGTTACCAAAAAAACCACTCTTAAAATCCTCTTATAAAAAGGATCGGAGGCAGTAGTTTCTTATCTTGACAGAGAGACCACCTAGCCTAAATCCAAGGGATTGAGCTATGTCTTTCACAGATTAGGAACAATGTTTGGAGGGACAATATATGAAATGACCAGTAAATTCAGTTTATGTTGACAATTTGTGTTTCGTGTAGCATATTCATATGCAATAGTTTACAGATTGCCCATGCAGACCAGATCTAGATTGGTGTATGTGGTTTCATCGCATTAACACAAGAAATTTTCTTGTGCATGTGTGCATGTGGCAGATTCTACCCGCAGAAACAATGATCAAGTTCTAAGACCATATACTTTTGTGTTATTACAATTCAAATCCAGGGCAACAATCTTACCTTAACTATAATCTCTTTTGGCTTTCTTTTAGCTGACCCAACTTTTTTACCTCTTCCATGTTCTATATCATCTCCTTTATTTCCTCCATTAGTACCTGGTCCATTCACGTTCATTGATGTTGAAACACCCTGCATATACCTGGATGCAATTCCAGCCTTTTCCTCCCTAATAACAATCCTCTTCTGCCTAGGACTTTGAGTCTCTTTAAGTACACCTTCATTTTCCGTTTCTACATAACCCTCTGATGGATCTAAAATCTGCATTAAATCCTTAGGATCTCCCACAAAAGGGTGTCTTCCAGGAACTGGTCTAACCCCAACAAGAACAGGAACTTGTGTTCCTGCCTCCATTTTTTCGACGTAGAAGAACTGTCCAAGCTGCTGCAACTCATTGGTCAGAATTAGCTCACTGTCTTCCTTTGAGAGTGAAGCATAGGTTGAATGAAAAGAGTCAGATACTTTTATGAAGAAACCTTGGTTGGGCCATAATTCCGACCCAGCTAGGGCAGGCACAATACTGACCACCTGAAGAAGTACCGATCGGTGTTCCCCGAGAACTTTCACATCAGAGTTTATGGTCTTGAGAAGCTTCAGTAGAACTCCAGGTACGAGGGATGCCATTCTTCTTCTTCCACTTTCCCGCTTCTGTTCAAAATTCTCACTGTTTTTTTGGTGTTTCATTGTTCACAAGATGCTTGTGAAAAAGCAGCATGTACGGTATAGAGGAAAATGATACCATCACAAGATGCTTGTGAAAAAGCATGCATATTGAGGAAAATGATACAAGATTCAAGAGTACTTTCTTATTGTGTGAGATTTTTCTAGAGAATTATGACAAGTAGACATTTCTCAAAATTTAATATTGCTTCAGGTCTCTCATATTGAAGACCGAAACTACGTATCACATTAACAGTATTATAGGTTGGCAGATTGAGCGTTGAACTGACTAAAATTGCAAGGGTGATGTGGGCTGAAAAATCCAATCAATTTGGTTTTCTTCATTCTTACTATGTGATCTTCATAACAAGAAAATTAAAGCGGAAAGATATCATCCGGTATATAATGGTAAAACTGAGTGGAAAACAGCTAAATGAACAGATGAGATGAATAAAATATGTTACCTGACGGTAGAAGCATAAAAGGCGAAGAGAAATGTCAAAGAGAGAAATCAAAGAGACCCTTTTTGTGGAGTGGGAGTGATGAGAGATTCTGGAAAGAAATGAGAAAACAAGAACAACTTTATTGCTTATCAGGCACGTAACCATCAGATTCTTGCGGCTTGAAAACCAAGAGAAAATGCACACACGTGAGAATTTCTTTTCATCTAGGCTTTCCAGTGAGTTGATATTCGAGTCTACCTTAATTAAGATCGATAAAAAATAAATATTAAAAATTTAATTATGTTGTAACAAGTAAGTGTTAATTTTCTTAAAATACCTCTTGCAATCAATGTATTATTTTTATATGACATATATCATATATTTGTAACTATTATTTCATATTATCTTGCTCTCTTTTTTTCAATAATATAGGAGCATTTTACTTCTTCTCAATCTCATTTTTCACATGTATCGTTGTATGCTTAGTTCTCTACTATTGTTGTATCATAGATTTTTTTTTTAAAAACTTAATAATCAAGATAATATTATACCAAAAGCGTGGGTTCCTGTTAAGAATGAAAAGCAGAAAAAAAAAAAAAAGGTAGATCTTATCCAATAAATGAGACTTTTTATGACAACTCCAGAACCCTTTGATTGAGACACAAGGACAAATCAATTTTATGTTTAGACATAGCCTTCATAACAATGAGAGTTTATTTTTTTTATTTCAAATACCATGTTATTTGTATTCTCCTTAATAAGAACAATTTAATTTAAATAGAAAGAGAAAAGTTGAAAAGAAAAATGCTTCAATAGAGGGAGAAAGACATACGTGTGCCTATTGATCGCAGTATAAATAACGCGTCACTGTCAAAACATCTTTTTTTTTTTTTTTTAGATTCTGCAGAATCTGGTCATATTTCGTTTTAAGTTAGAGGGAATGTGAACGTTGGGAAGGTAAGGATATCCATGTGTCTTTTTCCTGCATGCTGGCTTCATTAACATGTCCTCTGCATCCTTACATTTGATTTAGACACTTCAAATTTTACTATTTTTTTTAATTTAAATTAATATTTTTTAAGTTTATATTAAAGTTTATGTATTTTAAAATAAAAATAAACGTTAACATTATGTAAATCTTTCTTAGAAGGGAGAGAATGGGAGTTCCTCGCCAACCTCAGTAACCTATAGTGAAAATGACGCATAAATTTGTTATTGAATTATCCAGCACGCACATAACATGTAAATGAACTTCTTCAAAGGAAAAAATCACATTATGCTTGAATTATACCCGGGGGGGGGGGGGGATCTACATGCCATATTAAAATTGAATATCCTAAAGAATCTTTTTTTCCCCCCATAAGGAAATATCCACCTAGAACACATTGAAGTGAGCATTATCGATATGTATCCAAATGATACTTCACCATTGGGTGCCTTAGCACGGAAGGCTATGTTCAGAACGATACTATTACAGTGAAAGATTATTGAAACCCAGTAAAGGCATTAACTTCAGTTTCAGAACGAATCAGGTTAGCATACAAACCGTTGGGATATGAAGCAAGGAGGGTATCATGGCTTCCATATTCAACTACAGTCCCTTCTCTCACAACTGCGATGCTATTGGCCTCTCTGATTGTAGAAAGACGGTGGGCTACTATTATAGTTGTTGTACCTCTTGTAACATTCTTCAGTGCTTCTTGGACATGTTTCTCTGATTCTAAGTCCAAGGCACTACTTGCTTCATCAAGTAGTAGTACCCTTGATTTCTTCAATATGGCTCTTGCAATTGCTAACCTCTGTTTTTGGCCACCTGATAGCTGGACCCCACTCTCACCAACCTGGGGAAGGAAAACTTCAAAACATGCGTAAAATTATCCAAATATTTGTACCAATTTATACATCCATTTTCATAGGGTCAATTTCTAGGTTATACCAAAGTGGTTTGGTTTAGAATTGATTTTCTGTATTAGATAGTGTCTGTCATTCAATCTTTTATTTATTTGTCATGTCAATCTGTCACTTAATACCATTATTGTATTTCATTCATAGCATAATGGATGGTTTCTTTGTTAAACAAAGATGATATTTGGAAATTGAAACTTCCAAGTTTCTACGTCCAAACAGCAACTACAAAACATAAAATTGTTGAAGGTACAAGTGAAATAGACTTTACACGATGAATTATTTTTATCACTTTGGTGACTGTTTTTATGAAAATTTACATGTATAATCCCACAAATCGTTAAATTGAAATTGAAAAAAATCATATAGGAGTAGAATATACACTAAGCCATGAAGAGGACAAACTAATTTCATACAACCACGTATGTTCAATTATAATTTATGATTTAAAGAACGATGGGCTATAACTTACTCCAAATTAATGAGAAAAATGGAAGATGCTTATCAGTTCAACATACCTGAGTTTCATAACCTTGAGGAAGGCTACTAATGAATTTGTGAATGTAAGCTTCCTTTGCTGCCACTTCGATTTCGGCCCAGGAAGCTTCTGGGTCCCCAAAGGCGATATTCTCCCTTATGCTCCCAGCAAACAGTGCAGGTTCTTGACCCACTAAAGCTGTTTGCCTCCTCAACCACTCCACATCAATGTCTCTCAAATCTAGTCCACCCATCATCACCCGCCCCTGGTTTGGATCATAAAACCTCTGTATCAACCATATGACTGTTGATTTTCCTGATCCACTTGCCCCTACTAAGGCAACCGTGCTTCCACCTTTGACCTTCAAATTGAAATTCCTCAACACTATCACCTTAGGCCTAGATGGGTACGCAAATGTCACCATGTTGAATTCTAGCTTTAATAGCTTTGGTCTTTCTAGTTTCTTTCCTTTCGTCCTATCATTCCCTATCAATGGTCTACGGTGTATGATATCTAGAACAGCTGGAATTGCTGAAGCTGCCAAAGAAGTATCTGGTGCTAAACCAGCTAGTTGTCCCACAGAAAATGAGCTCAAAACAAGGATGAGAAATATCTTGTATACATCCCCGAATTGTGCTTTGCCTTGTTTTACAAGGAGGGAACCAAACCAAAGAGTTAAGGTGTATGCTCCATACATGGCACCTTGGAAGAACCCAAGCATTAGACCGAGAATCTGTGATCTTTTCACTGAATTTTTCCTAGGTTCTGATAAAGCTTGATCAAAGGATTTGACTATCTGTTCTTGGGCAGAAAATGCAATAGTTGTTCTTATGTTTGAAACTGCACCAGAAGCGATGTTACTAGCTCTGGCAAAGGAATCATTGTTGACTCGTGGCCCGAGGTTTATAATCAAGTTTAGATAGTTTGCACCAAGAGTGAAAGGAGTTAGTGCAGCAGCCAACAAAGTTATTCTATAATCAAATTTAAAGCACACACCAAGCCCAACAGCAGCTGAGCTCAGCCCCATTAAAAGGACAGAAAATCGATCACCAAGCACTGATCGAAAACTAATACAGTCAATAGATAGTCTTGACACTAGCACTCCAGTGGAATTTTCTTCAAAATCAAACCACCCTGGTTCTTGTCTTAGTATGGATCGAAAAAGAAGGTCTCTAATTCTGATTGTGAGCTTAGTTCCCGCCCAACCACACAGACCTTGTTGTCCTGTCAGAGAGATTATGCAACCAAGCCCTAGCCCAACAAGTACTAAACATAGATGGTTAATATCTGTTTCCATTGTTGAAGTGTCCTGTTTAAAGTATACTTCAAGGGCTAGGCCTAAAATCAATGGAAAAAGGGAGAGAAAAGCACCAGCAAGCATGCCCATCGCAAATCCTGAAAACAGCGTCAAAAACTCTGGTTTTTGCAGTTTCCATATCTCAGAAAGTTGAAAATTTGTGGGCTGCTTCTGTTGCTCATCTTCCATATCAGCTTGTTTTTCATCTTGAATGGCTTTTAAGAACTTGGACCTTGAGATATCCACAGCATGTCTTGATTTTGATGCATCAGGAACTGAGTTCTCATAGACAGAAAAATCATTGACCTTTTGTATGCTCTTAGACCCTGGTTTTGATGTGGCTTCCGTAGCAAGCATGACAAGGTTATAGTAGGCACCTGCCTTTCCTATAAGCTGTCGATGATCACCAATCTCAGTTACAGAACCATTTTCAAGAACCACAATAGCGTGGGCATTCTTTACTGTTGCTATCCTGTGAGCAATAACAATGGTTGTTCGTCGAGCAGAAATCTTGTCAATAGCCCGTTGGACCACAGACTCTGACTCAGCATCAAGAGCACTGGTAGGTTCATCCAATAGAAGGATTTTAGGATCTTTGATAATGGCTCGAGCCAATGCAATTCGCTGCTTTTGACCCCCTGAGAGTTGGATACCCTTAGCTCCAACCTGTCAAAAGTGCACTTTTTAGGCTAGAGCTAAATCATAGGCAAGTATGTCTACTTGTAGATTTTCTTTAGATGATTTTATCTATCAAGGATAAAGAGTTCCATCTTGTTTAATGAATTCCAGATTTTCCCACCTATTCTTGATGGGTACAGAAAATTCTCGAATTGCAGGCTAATTTTGTTTGCTGTTCATCTTGTTAATTGTATAAATGCTTTACAACCTTGGTTTATTTGATTCATATTTGTCAAATATCTGAAGAGATTAGTATACCTGAGTGTCGTAACCTAGGGGTAGGCCAGAGATGAAGTCGTGGGCATCAGCTGCAATGCAAGCCGCAATTGCTTCTTTCTTGGTGGCATTGTCCTTCCCCATCATCACATTTTCCAGAATGGTTGTGGCAAAAAGAATCGGTTCCTGACCCACCATTCCAATTTGATCTCTTAGCCACTTGACTTGCAGTGTCCTCAAGTCATGACCATCCAAGGTTATTATCCCTACAAAGAATTTGAAAGACAATGAAGCCAAAAGTATAATCCATTTGCCTTAAGATTTTCAGAGTTCTTAGGATATGATCAAATTGTTATTCTGATATGTGTTTTACCTTCAATAGGGTCATAAAACCTCTCTATTAGAGCAAAAATAGTGGACTTGCCCCCTCCACTGGCACCAACCAGTGCCGTAGTTCTTGAAGAGGGAATAACTAGTTTAAGGGAATTAAGGATTAGAGCATCAGGACGAGCTGGGTATGCAAAGATAACACTTTTGAACTCAATCCTTCCGCGAACATTAGAGAGCCTCCTTCCGTCAGGGCCGTAGGGATCAATCTCAGGGACTCTCTCTATGATTTCAAATACTCGGCTTGCTGCAACAATGCCTTGTGCAAACTGCGCAAAATATGAAAGTGCCAATGCCAAGCCTCTGCAAATTTAAGAAACGGGAAAAAGTTAAAATCTTTTTGTTTTTTTTTTAAATCAATAATTAAACTAGAGAAGAAACTGGTTCACACTTTAATGAATGTACATATTGTGGTTGAATCAATTCACATAATTTATTTTAATTTTTTAACTATATTAAATGTTATCTTGTACGAAAGTAAATTGATTAATAAAGTCATATCTATGTATACAGTGTGGGTGTAATTTTAAAGAAGTTTTCATGTATAACGGCTTGTTTAATTGTAAGTGATCGATTGTGGGTTCCACGTCCAGTTTAAGGTGAAATCGCCTAGTCCGACCAAGTTCTTGATTTTTCTTGGCACTTTTGAGAGCAAAACTAGACATTATATGAGATAACCAAAGCAGACAGCAACTTGAAGAGCAAGAGAGTAAAGCCTCCCTTTAGAAGCAGGATCAGAAGCAAGTAATAATATTTTGGGACAAAATCCATCACTGGATATTGAAATTCCAATTCTTATCCAAAAGGCATTCTCCTTATTTTGTCAATTTCACTAATTTACTGGTCAAAAGTATGTCTTTGAAAGACAATCCAAACATTGATGGCTTCTTTTTTTTAACCAGAAACATTGATGGCTAAAAGACGGCTAAAAGTGATTCGGATCAGATGATTCAACCAAACATGGACGGCTTGTTTAATGATTTTTTTTTCTATTTTTTAACACAAAGAAGTTAGAATAAAAGAACACAGTCGAACAGATGCTTCACATAATAGAAAAGAAAGAAATCGCACCTTCCCCCGACCATGACTCCAAAGAAACAGGCAATGGCCCGACCTCCATCAATCTCTCCCTTGGCAATTAAGATAGAGCCATACCAGAAAGCCAGGGCCCATGTGGAGTATGTTACTAAATAGATGACTCCCATGCCTGCACCCTTAGCAAAACCAATGGTGACCCCAACCGGGACTGAATTTTTCAGCAGGTCAGAATATTTTGAAGCCATCTGGCTTTCACCAACAAAAGAAAAAACAGTCCTGATTGAACTGATGGTCTGCTCTGCAATGCTACCAGCTGTTCTATAAGAAGCCTTTAACAAACACCAAAAAGAAAAGGAGTCATGAAGAATCCATTACACTACAGGAATCAAGTATTTTTTCGCTCTTACTTCTTCTTTTGCTGATAAACCACCATAAATGGCCTTGTAAACTATACCACAGAACATAGTCACCGGGGTGACTGAGAGGACCACCAGAGCAACTTTCCATGACCTTATAAACCCAACTATATACCCAGTTACGAATGTGCATAAATGATGAATGAAGTGAGCCATCTGTGAAGGCAAAAAAATTCAAAATGTGTCAGCTACACACGAATATGGTAAAGAACTCGCCAGCTTGGATCTCAATGACAAAGTATCAAACTTGATTAGCAGGAATTCTTGGTTAGATTCAGTATACAAAAGATTGACAGATGAAATCAACCATGATTAGACATACAAGTCTTATCTACGCACAATTGGCTCAGTCTACAAATTTTTCACAAAAAGGAATCCAAGACTTTTCTCGAGCATCTAGTGGAGAGATTTTTGGGTAAAACCAATGTACATGCATCCAGGCAATGGGTAATAGATTATTGATACTACTTCCGTACCTTAATATAAAACCTAGTTGACTAATTTAGGAAGATTGAGAAAATTAGTTAAGTTAGTTATTTGTTACAAATAGGCGTTGTCTTTCCTAGAATACCTTTGCTAATCACGTATATTAGCTAGGATTACCATTTGATGAAATCTTTAACATATGTAACTACTACAAGGATTACATCGGAAAAAATGAATAAATATGAAAAGCAAAGTGGACTAAGGTCTTATATTTAGGATCAAATTAAAAGTCAAACAAGCTCTTATAATAAAGAACAAAAGTAGTATTTGATAAACCCACCAATAACATGATTAAATGCTTATTTCTTAGTTATTATCATATGGTATCTTAAAATTATGTAAAAAAATTACCCAAAAAAAAACATAAATAAAAGTTGTAATCTTAGATAAGAAGTTTTGGTGCAAGTGAAAATGTTGCTTTAGTGTGATTTTGTTAGTGAAAATGTTGTTTTAGCGTGATTTCATTAGTGAAGGAGATGATGTGATTTTATTACTAAAGAATTTGACATTGATTTATTTAATCAGGGGTAATAGAGGATAATTTAATTAAAAATGTTAATTTGGGCCTAATATATATATAATCAGAAGATTCTAAGTTAACAATAATACTAGGAAATACAGTATATACGATGATATGTTTAGGAATAAGAAGAAATATAAAAGAAAAATGTAATAATTATGATAAATAAATGGATATAATACATTTTTCTTTGTAAACTTAGCGCTTGTTTTTAAGTAATAACCCAAAATTGTTTTCTTTTAATTTTCTGCCTAAACTTTCATTGTCGTTTACATCATTCATCTTGCTATAACTAAACCTAAGTTCATTTTGAAGTACTATTATGCTGTTGGATTACATATTGTCAACTTGACAGTAGAAGAAGAATAAGCAAGAGAAATAAAGGATGACCTTATCTCCCATAACTTCTTGAATTTGTGCAACATCACTTGCAATCCCATGCATAATATCAGCAGTGCTGATCTCTGTATCATAAAAGCTAATGTCCTGACGAAGAACTGCTCTTAGATATTCTCTTCTTATTCTTTGGGCAGATCGCTCTCCTACCAACCTCCAACATGTGATCTCTGCCAATTATATTGATCAATGCCCAGGCACCTCAATGCTAAGAGAATCATTGGCTATCTATTAAAATTAAAATATACATTTAATTTCATAATCTGCTTACCTAAATATGCTCCAACCATCACCACTGCAGCTAAAACGGTCATATATATGCATATCTGAGAAATGATAGTTGGCAGAGAAAGAGAATCAGAGTAAATAAGAATGACACTTAAAGAGAAAGAAACATGTATGCTCATATTAGACAATGCATATTTTCACATTATGTAAAGACACTTCAATTCAAGACTCTCATATTACACCAATCTTTTTTTTTTTAATTTTGAAAACATGTATTTAAGTTTTTTTAATCTTTAACTTGGTTAACAATATTCTAAAAAGCTATCCATTAAAAAAATATTCGTTAAAGATTTTTTTAATTAAAACTTCTATTAAAATATATTTTGTTTACCAATTTTCCTTCCACCATACCAGAACCCTAATTTTAGATAAATTTCTTTATTTTCCTTTTTTTTTTGAAACAGTTATTTGTCTAATGTATTTATCACATTGTAAAAGTTTAAGGAGTAATTTAGTTAACAACTTAACATATACATTTTAAAAATTAATTAAAAATTTGATTAATTTTATAAATTTTGTAGCAAAAAATGTGTTTAAAAATTTTAAATAATTTATATAATTTCTCAAAGTCACATAATTTATACTGTACAATGAGCAAAAATGTTTATTTGAAATATATTTTTAGTCATTAAAAGAACTAAGTAAATAAGTTTTAATAAATGGTGATGAAAATTTTAAATTATAAAATTTTATAATGTAATCAAAATATATGTGTGTAAATAACTCTTGCATCAAATAAAATTATTTTTAGTCAAAAAAAATTAAAAATCAAATTTAACTGTTAACTAATAGTTGGATTGATAAAAATAAAATCTCAGATATATAAAAAAAGTTTACGTAAGATACATTTTAGTTTGTTTGGGAAAAAAGATATCTTTTATATTTTACTCAAATAATTTGGAAACAATTGCATACCGTAGTCTTTGACTCAAGTCGTATAATTTTTTCCAATCGTCAATTTGAAACAATTGCACGCTTCCGCTTATATATATATAGCAGTATAGTACTGAATGGATTACAATGCTCTGATGAGTACTATATAGTGCTCATCAAATATAAACAATCCAAATTTAATATTTTTTGTACTTTTTTTAAAAAAATTTATTTTAATGAGTATACAATAAAAAAAATATCTCAATTATTATTTTTTTTCAAAAATTATTTTTTAATTATCAATAAAAAATTTTAAATTTGGACTACTAAAATTATATTGGGATGGTGCAGATGTCGAAATCAATTTTGATGCTTCTCAGCTGTTCAAATTTAGTACTGGCTGAGATTTAATTTTTTGTATTTTAAGAAAAAAATATTTTTAATAAGTAAATAATCTAAAATAAATAGAATTTTTTAACTGCAGATTTTTAAAAAAGTAAAAATTTCAAATTTAAGCCGATAAAACCGTATGTCAAAAGTGTAGATTTAACCAATGATGAGTATTAAAAACCGTATGTCACCGTAGCAATAAGTGCCGAAGCCAGTTACTCATTGCCAAGAGCTTGGCAAATGGCACAGAGACATAGGGATTAATAGGAAAAAAATTTATTAATTGGAGAGAATTGAAACGAGGGGGTAAAGATGAGAAGTTCATCAGATATTATTGTTTGACTTAATTTTTTTGACCTGGAGTTTGGCTTAATTAACTGATGAAAACAAAGAGTATAGCATACCATGTTAATATCCTTCATTATCTGGTCTCTGTCAGCACCATCACTGGATTGTTGAGAAATCTTATTGACTGCTTTTCCAAACAGAAAAGAGTACCAAGGAAGCGAACCTCCATTTATGAGAGCCCCCACGCAACCCAAAAATACAAGCACTAAATCCCACTTTGTTGAGTACCGAAACAAGCTCAACAATCCAACTGCTTTTGGAGCCTCCAAATCATCATCACCATCATCATAGTCATCCATATCCTCCTCATCTTCTTCCCGAAACCCAGAAAACTTGTCGATCCCATTATGACTATACCCGCCGTCGCCATGGCTGAAATGCACTGGCACTATCTGCCCATGACCGCCACTGTAACCATCATGTTTCGTATACGAGAGCTCTGGTTCTCGACCAACACTAAAAGACGCAAAACTAAGTTCATCTTCTTCCGCCAATGGACTATTCTTCTTCTCCTTTCTAGTACCGATGATTCCTTCCTTGATGACGTCCAATCTGGAAAATCCATTGTAAGACTTGCTATTCTGATCGCCATTTTCCTCAGCGACGTAGCTCTGAAGCTCGACTCTCCCAGACGGAATGACGTTGCGTGAAGTTTCAGAATTCGAGTACGCAGAAAACCGATTTCCTCTGGGGAAGCCGCTCGTTCTGGAAAGGTAATAATCTTTCGCGGACGGACGGAAAACCCGACTCCTATCTGATGATATTGGGCTTGCGGCCCATGGAGCGAAAACAGAGCCCAAATTTCTATTACCGTATTCGCGCCATCCACTGGGCTCAAATTGCCACGAAACTTCTGTCTGCCATGAACGGTCGTCGTCGGAGGTAGTGTGAATCGCCGGAGCCTTGTTCCGGCGGCCCAGAGCAGGATAGGGGTTGCCCCGAGAGGTCGACGCTGCCGTGAAAGACCGAGACGTATTGCGAGAACTCACTGGCGTTGAGGGGTAGCGTCGTGTAGGACAGTGTTGGCCTGAGGAGTTGTAGTCGATTTCAAAGGAAGAGCCAACCATGGCTGAAGCAGAGGAAGAGAATTCAGAAAGAGAGAAATGAACAAGATTCGATTTTGTGGGTAGGAAGGAAGATACATCAGTTTAACGAGACAAACAACATAAAGACTTTGCACATTCCGTCAAGAGAGAGAGGGACAACGAACAGAGCAAATTAAAACGGGAAACATGAAAGAATCATTGAGGTTTACGTATGTATAGAGGCTTTGTAACGTATCGAGACTAATTTATTGTGCATGGACGGCATGCAAGGCAAACGTGGCCGGCTGAGAGCCTATTCCAGTTGAGCACCTTCTTAATTATTCATCATGAAGCTAATTAAGCAGGACTTGTCTTGCCGGTAGGCTTATTTTTTTGTGTTCTTTAATGATATGTTTTTTATTAAAATAAGTTCCTCTGAATTTTATTATGATTCCAAATACTACATCCGGTCCTTAATATAAGACGTTATTTGACTTTTATTTTGATTCTAAATATAAAATCTCAATCCATTTTATCTCTCATATTTATATATTTTTTTTCAATGTAGTCTTTCTAATAATAGTAGTTCTAATTAATACACTAGTAAGAATGTTTTTAGGAAAGACAATATCTATTTATTACAAATAACTAACTTAACTTATTTTCTTAATTTTTTCAAATTAATTAACTAACTCTTATAATTAGGATAGGAGGTAATAGTTTCTGAAGACACAACATAACTTCAGAGCATGGGAAATCAATGAAATGCCGTTATCTGAGTGAATTTTTTTTTTTTAATTGCAAGGTCAACAAACCTGTCTTCCTCTTCCTATTCAAATGAAATGCTGACGATCGAGGACTTTCCAGTTTCCATTTGTCATGAAAGCGTGTTTTGCAAAAAAAAAAATTTCGCGAGTGATTTTTTTTCTTTTTGGATGAGACAAAATAATGGTTCATAAACATGCAGTCATCTTTAAAAGCGAGCTCATTGAAAAGTTTACCTCACCTTATGGGAATTTTGATTTTGATTCAGGTATTCAACCAGCATTTTTTCCCCTAAAGTATTAAAATTTCTTCATTAACAGTTACTCCCTTTGACTAGACAAAATCGTTCTTTTTTAACTTTTTTTTTTGATAATAGAATTTTTGGAAAGGGGTTGGGCTCACCCACGATCCAAGGGCAGGGCGAAATCTCCCTTCCTCCTAGGTCATACCAATGTTGGGCAGGGCGAGCCGTCAATTACCCTCAGGCGTTTACCTAGGCACCCAAGAGCTAGGATGCCTCCCCAAGTTCTTTTTTAACTTTTTAACAAAGGGATGGTGTCTTTTGATCAAGGATCTAGGTTAAAAGTTGCAGATAAGAATCTCCCAATCTCAAGAAAGGGATCTTATGCTGGTATTCCCTCCAGTTCTCTTTTTTTCCCCCAAACTTCCAGTATTATAAATACTTAATAATAATTTTATATAAATTAATAAAGCAAGTTAAAATTAATTGTTTTTCATACAATATCAACATTATCTACAATAAAAATTATTGCTTAGAGAAGGTTGGTTAATTAGTTAAAAAAATTATAATTAGAAAAGGTACTAAGTAAAAATGTTAATGCTTTAAACAAAATATGTTATGCCAGATCTTATAAGAAAAATTGGAGGGAATATTCATTTAAAAAAAAAATGAGTTGGCATCTGCATTAATACTCAATCCAGGAAATACAAGAGGACACAGCATCTTCATTGTTCACTGGATAGTATAATCTGATCCCTCGGAGAGACCGAGTGGTAGAAGGTTTTGTATGCATCGAAGAGCGGCTTCTGAAAATAAACGATGATACTGTTCCTTGATAAAGATAATTCTTACTCGTATACTGTCTATTTCTGAAGCCTGGTTAGATAAATGTGCTTGAAAATAATATAATAAACTCACAATTTTATCATCAACCAAACTCTCTGGCCCACGATTCCCCCCCCCCCCCACCCAAAAAACCTTAATAAGTTTGAAACCTTTTGTGACATCTTTTCGGGATTGATTATAAGATGAATCACCAACAAGAACAGGTCCCTGAGCACTTCCCCATTTTCTCCTCATCTGAGCAGCATCATTCTCACCTGGGTCTGAGGTGGAATTCCATGATTCAGGACTTCCAATAAGAGAATCCACAGAAGCATTAACACCAGAAGATTCATGAATGATGTAAGCGTGAATTCCATGAGACAGGGCTTTCAGTGGTGAGCCCTGCAGAGATCCCACCATGTTGAAAGCAGAAGGCACGGTAGTAAGCATTTCAGCTGCTGTAATAGGGTCTACTTGAGCAAGTGATCTAATGGAATCGCCAATCTCCAATTCAGAATCAGCAGATTTCTCAGATTCCGGGTTCAGTCTTACCTTTCCATTATTTGTATAAGCACAATCTTCAACAATCATGGCTTCAGTTTCATCGTACTCCTCGCCCACAAAATCTTCCCCCTCAAACATGGGCTCATCAAATTCTTCAGTATTCCGAGTCTTTAATGCTAATGAAGCTTTCATCCTGACAAAACTAGCTCCAACACTGGAGCTTTTGTTATTACCCTTTTAAGGAAAGACCTAGGCGAATGATCACAAGGGCCAATATCAGTCTGCACCCTATCAAATTTTACAGACTCCATAGCAATACCATCTGATTTCAAAGAGGAAAACCCCTTCGCCTCTGGACCAGCAGAACTTTTCGGTAAAGGATGGAACTGCTTTGTCTTCTCTTTCTCTTCCTTGATACCTGACATCTCTTCACTGGTGCTCCTACTGCGCCATAGTTTCTCATCTGACAGCAGTTTGCTATTTTACTGATTGCAGAAGAAGGCCTTGTATTTTCTTTAATTAAATCAGAAAAGTTTGGAAAGACTGGGCGGATTGCCCCTTCGCCTTCAAGAAGAATTAGACACTTTTGATACTGTTACTGAGTGAGCCGGGGAAGTAGAGATATTTCTGTTGGGCGAATTTTTCCCACTTTGCCTCCAAGCACAATCCTCAAAAGCTAACTCAATAAAAAGTCTACACTGTCCATTTTTCTTCAGAAAGTTCAGAAGTATCTTCATTCTCTTCATTCAAAAGGGATTCAACTGGGTGCTGTAAAAATGGGGGGAACCTTAAATCAGAACCAAAATTGGTGTCAGTATTTAAAATATCAAAAACTTTCTTTTTTTAATTGTAACTCCAAAAACCATTTGAAGACGTAAGGAATACCTGCTCCTTCTTTTTACTCAAATTGAAAGATCTGAGTTTCTCAGTATGCCGTTGAGCAGCTGATACTGAATCTTCTCTGTCTATAGACCATAAAATCCTAGCCTTCATCTCAGCTCTACTCTGCTCAAGATTATCCTGCATGGCCTTCATTTTAGCTTCCTTCTCTAATCTTTTAGAACTCCATTCTTCCCTCAGTTTGGCATCCCTTTTCTGCATGTACATTTCATAAAATTTTCCCCTGGAATTATCGCCAAAATTAAGATTCAAGAAATTCAGCCTTATAGAATCACCATAATTATGGTTTTTCACCATCTTCACTGGTGCTTTACCATCAAAATTTATAACCTCACTACAGCAATAACTACCAGCGGGTTCAAGCATAGTATTTATGAAAGGCAATTTAGAAGTTGATTCCAATGCTCCAGGTCTTCTATCCTGCGAGTTAACAGACTCTTCTGCAACCCCTTTTTTGTGATCAGCAAAAAGCTTTTCAAGCTCATCTGCTTTCATTTTCAGCTCATCATTGAAAGCCCGATTTCCTTTGGACTGCCTCGGTCTCTGAAATTGCTCTAAAGATGGAATTGTGGCTACATCGACACTACCTTGACTCTCTAAAAGCTCTTCCTAGGAACATTCAACTTCCTGCTTTGATAAGCAACGTGAGTCTGGTCCCTCTTGATTCCAGACTTGCTGATGTGTTCGTAACCACCAGAATGAGGTTTTTGGTTTCTCTTTTTCACAGTATCAGAATCCTCGGCCTTAATTTTCTGCATGCTAGAGAATGAAGAGTTCTTCATCACTTCCTCAGATTCTCCAGTCTGATCAACTTCAACTTGACCAAAAGGAGCTTCCTTAAAATTCAGTCCAAAACCACCGTCAAATTGTCCAAAGAAAGATCGAGTATGACTGTGTGAACCCCTCAAATGTAACTGGGCATCAGTACAATACTTCATCACACGATTACCCCTTCTACCTGAAAATTTGACATCCGATGTTATATCCTGCACGGGGGTGGTGACATCACCTGCAGGGATCTGAGAAGCAACTTGGTCCTTGGCACCACCAACTTCAACGGGGTCAGAAAAGCCACTCGATTTTGTCCCAGAATCAACGGAAACAGAGGAACTGGGAGATGGCGTGCACAAGGAGCTCTCCCTATCCTTTCTCTCCCCAGTCACATCAATTCTCGTGTCACTGATGCCACTCCGTCTTCGCAATACAGACTTCTCGGCAGCCACAACGGGGGAGGCCACAGAAGCATCAGACGAGAACCGCCGGAACTCTGCGGCTTTGCCAACAATGAGTTTACCGCCACTGCCACCGGAGTAAGAATTCTCCCTCTGCTTGTTCTCGAAGAGGTTGATTCGGTCCTGCACGCTGAGGCGCCGCGCAGGCTGAGTCGTCGGATTAGAAGAAGACAACGGCAATGATTCAACCGGGGCCCCCTCGGTCGTCTTCTCCTCAACCTTTTCGGCCTTTTCGTCTTTCTCGGAACCGTTCCCGCGCCGCGAAGCGAAAGGGGCAAAAGGCTTTGGCTGCTGCCACGTGGATTGGTCATGGTGTTGGGCCCCCCTGTTGTGGGACCCCGCAAGAGATTCGGTGGGGTCCTCAATGGGTGTATCCGAACAAACAGATGATGGGAGTTCGCTTTCAACGCCACATGGCTTCCAAGAGGCGGTGAGGTCCGGTCTTCTTTGGTACAGTGACATAAATTTAGTGCAAGCTTCGCTGCACACCCACAGAGAGAGGGAGAGATGAAAATTGTCCTTTAATAACAATATTATTTCGAACCTTCGTCCTTTTTCCCCATTATTTAGAACCT